GCGTCGACTTGGGGTGCTTCGTCGCGTCGCAGACGTCGCACTTCTCGATCACCTTCTTCATCGCGTCCAGTAGCTCCGGCTTGGCCTTGGCCATCTTCAGAACGAAGGTGGTCCTTCGCAGGTCCGCGTGGCCCAGGTTGGCGTGCACTCGCTTCGCGATCGTCTCCCAGGTCTCGCCTCCTGGCCCGGTGGCCCCTGAGTCGTACAGGGCCATCACCATGTTCATCTCCTTGATCGGGCGGCCGATATTCTTGCTGATTACCTTGCGGATCGCCTTGACCAGCCTCGGCGGGTACACCTGCGACCACCTCGAGATCTTCTGCAGCTTCCCGTCCGCGTCGCGCTGGCTGCCGAACACGATGGTGTGCTCGTGGTCCTTCTCGCACCTCTTCTCAAGCTCCTCGGTGTGGTCCAGCGTGGTGAGGATCGCGGTCGGCTTCTTGATCAAGCCCTGCCCGCTCGGGTCCGTCTGGCCGTGCACGCACTGGTCCAGGATGATCCTCCGGACCCTGGGGTCCTTCATGAGCCTCCGCATCTCCGCCAGGCCCCAGGACGTCGCCGTCCAGGGGTGCTCCAGGTAGAAGTGCCGGCCAGCGTCCAGCTGCATCTTCGCGATCCGGATCGCGAATCGCAGGAAGAGAAGGGCCTCCCGGTAGTCCTTTTCCCAGTCGTCGGTCCGCTTGTTCTGGCTCAGGTTCTGAAGCGCACAGAACATTCTGCATGGTGGGGTGAGTCCCACCACCTTAGGCTGCCGCCTCTTGATCTCTGCCATCGCCCACATGCGGTCCTCCTTCTTCCGGCAGTCCCAGCCCGTCTTCAGGTCCAGAGCCAGGTCCCCGGTGATGCCGCCCTGGTTCTCGCAGTCCAGTACTCTGGGCGGTGAGAAAATCTCGGCCAGGTCGTCGGCAGCGTTGCACTCCTCGAAGTTGCTCACCACCTTGCCGTCGCTCATGAACAGGATCTGCTCCGGGATGTGGCGCACCACGTCCCCCACGATGCGTTTCCACTCCCCGTTCTTGATGTCCCTGGTCTTCGGCTCTGACGGCTCGAACCAGAACTCCGTCACTATGTCCCGGATGCCCTTGCCGTCCGGGAACTCGTAGATCCACTTCAGATCGCTGGTCTCTTCCACGTGCAAGATGGCAGTGTCGTCGAGTACCTCGCCGGTACCTCGGTCCTTCGTGACGCGCCACTTTACTTGCTTCCAGGCGGGTTCTCCACCTTGACCTCTCACCGTCCTGGTGCGGGCGGCCCTGTTCTGCTTCTCGTACAGCTTCAGGCCGCTCCGTCCTCCCACGAGTCGTCCGAGGGTAGCCTCTTCCGCGCCCCGTCGGCCATCCTCTCGTCCGTCCTGGGTGACGTCGTGCTCGTCCTGGCCCTGGTCCTTGGTGGTCGGCTGCTCGAGCTCGGCTCCTGTGGGCTGCTCGCCGCCTCCTCCCGCATCTCGATGTACAGTATGAACTGTCTCATCGCATCGTTGAGGTGCTTCGCGGAACCCCTGATCCAGTCGCAGTCCGGGTGCTGGGCGAGTACCGCCTCGAACGTCTTGCTGCGATGCCTCTCGCCGAATGTTATCTTTCTGCTGCCCCAGCTCTGCGCCAGTGTCTTCGGGTCGATCGTAGCTCTCGTTAGCTTGGCATCGTGGGTCCACAAGGCCTCCTGCATATCGGTCACCCTCATATTCTGCGGGAGCTCCGGCAGTGGGGCGTTCCACAGGTTGCACAGGGTCACGAGCTCTGCCTTCAGCGTCGGCATCGCACTCGCGATCCACTGGAGACGCCGCGTCGGTCTTCCTCCCGAGCTGCTCGCGGCCGCCGAGTCCGGACTCACGGAGACCTGAACGTCTTGGTAGCAGTGCGGCCTCTGAAACTTGCAGCGCAGCGCCTGCGCCTGCCCAGCGCACCAACGCAGCAGCAACACATAATGGGCGAGAAACCCCCATCTGTCTGCGATCTGGTTGGAGCGGGCCTTCGGCATTCGCCGGTGAGATATGGAAAGTTTGCTGAGCGCGCTGAAAGCGTACATCTTTGGGCCTGAGTGGCTGTGCATTGTCCGGGCTCTCGTCGATTAGCTCGGGTTTTCGAACCTCGACAGCCTTCTTCGAGCCTCCAAGTGCCTCCGAGGTCCCTGACCTGGTCCCAGACGGGGCCCCCCTGGTTCCTGAAGTTCCCGAAGACGTGGTCTGTGATCCCCTTGGTGTCCCCTGGGTTCCCGGAGTCGTGATCCGTGATCCGCTCGACCCCGCCATCGTCGTTCGAGTAGTCATCGAAGTACTCGGGCTGGTCGCACTCGGGCTCGAAATCGCCTTCGTCGACGTCCTCAACTTCGTACCCTCGCATCGGTCTGGTTCTTCAGATCGGGAGGCAGGAACGAGAGCGGCCACCAGCTCTTTGTTTTCCTGCGCAATCGTCGCATCAGTCAGACACACCACTTCTGGTGTCCTCGTCTCCGCTCTCACCGGCCTCGTGAAGCCTTGCTCACCGAAGTCGCACAGAGAGAGGCGCCACTGCTTCGTCTTGGGGTTATCTCGGGATCTCCGAAGGGCCACGGTAACACCCAGGGTCTTCAAGGTGAGCAACCCCCTGGAGGTGTCCATAATCCCGGAAAGGTCCTCGAGCAAGCCCTCTGAGATCAGCAGCGGGGTCCAGCCTGGCACTACGCAAAATTTGAGCACTCCACTTCTACCCCCAAGGCCCACAGGATACTCGGGAACCCAATTTGACTGAGCGGCCTGGCCATTCGCGAAGTGGAAGCTCCTGCCGATACTAGGAACGTATCTGATACTCAACCCAAAAAGTCTTCTGAGAGCATAGTTGTGTAACGCAATCCTGTGATCCCCAGCCTAGAACACCCCGTATCTACCATGCCCTCCAAGACGCCCAGTAGCTGGGCTGCTGAAAACTTGCACAACCTCCTCTTCGCTTCCTCGAGACACTCCCGAAACCTGGACGGGCCCATCTCGACTCCCGAGGGGGATGTGGTGCCGTCGGCGCTGGAGGCCTGCTCGGCCTGGGCCGTCTGCTTGCGCGCCTTCGCGCGCAGCCTGCGCTCACGATTCTTGATCTTCGCCGGGTCGTCGGTCTCGGGCGGCGGCGGCGGTGAGTCCGCCGTCGGCTTCTCCGGGAAGTCGAATACGTAGGCCTCCTCGAACTCCTCGTGGTCGTGATCCTCCTCGGCGTGGGCCATGCCGACTCCTTCCGCGGGGGCCTTGCGCACCGGTGGATTCCTGCACTCCCGCGTCCAGTGGCCCACCTTGTTGCAGCGGTGGCAGTGGGTCCTCTTCTTCAGCTCCTCGATCTTCTTACGAGCCTCCCTCTGGTACTCCATGCTGCCCTTGCCGCGGCCGCTGGACTTCCCCTTCGGTTCACTCACGTCACGGTAGCCCCTGACGTCTTGCGGTCGCGGACGATCCTCCTCGTCTCCTGCCAGCTGCCACGGCCTCCAGGTCCGGCTTGCCACGCCGCCAGCACCGCGTAGGCCTCGTCCTCGTCAAGGATGTCCTCCTCGTTGATCTCCTCCTGGTCGGAGCCCTCCAGCGCCATCAGCGCTTGTGCGATCGGGTCCTCGTCCTCGTACAGCTCGTCATCCTCATCCACGTAGAACGCCTTGCCACTCCTCTGCTGCCCCGAGGTGTCCCCCTGGTGGCCCCTCGTGGTCTTCTCAAGCGAACTGTCGTCTCGAAGCCCCTTGAGCGCCGTCCTCACGTCATCGTACGCCAGTGACCCCGAGGTCTGCAGGATCACCGCCATGCGCTCCGTGTGGTCCAGCTTCGCCTGCCGGACGAGGATGTAGCCCTGCACGTCGTCCAGCGTCACTTGCAGCTTCCTCAGCCTATCGAACGCCTTCTTGATCTTCATCGAGTGCTGCTGCAGGCTCTCTCCCTTCTTGCGCTCCGACCCGTAGAAGGTGTGCTCGAACTCCAGGTACTTTTCGTACACGTTCTTCGGCATGATCTCCTGTTCGAGCGCCCTCACGATGTTCTCCACTCCGTCCTCGCCCTCGAGCTCGCTCTGGTCAAGACCTTCCACGATGCTCTGGATCTGGTCGTCGCCGCCCTCCAGAATGCTGTAGTAGGCGTGGAGACCCCGTTGATGTGTTGGAATCCCCGTCGCCACCTTCGACCAGATCCGTAATCTGCGCACGTACTTCCGCAGCTCCTCGATCGTCGACTCCTTGATGGTGGGTGGCGGAACGTACCTTCCGGTACTCGCGCCCTCACGTGTGACTGGAGCCACGACCTCTTTACCGTCCTCGTCATCTCCCATGTTGTAGCGATGGGCCGCGATGTGTCCGCCGTGTAGTCTCTGTCCACCGTGCTGTCTCTGAAACTCAGGTCCGAGGAAGCGCAACGCAGCGCTCCGCTACCACCGAACACGGTGGAGCGGCGGAAACGTAAGCGTGAGCTCTCGTATGCCTCGTTTTCAGTATCAGCTCAGGCTAACATGTGTCTGCCTCCAAGGGGCCGACGCCCCTGATCGAACCAAAAGGTTGCGGAAAGGGGCTGAGTGTCTGGCATCCTCAGAAGGCCTCTAGAGGGACCCTGGGTCAACTCGCAGTAGGTTTGTTTTCCCCCTACTCCCCTCCTTCCTCCCTTTCTCTCCCTCTCCCTCCCCTCTTCCTCCCCTCTCTCACCCCTGCCGCTCAGCCGCCCGTGAGCCGTGGGGCCAGGGGGGGGGCAGGGGGGTCTCGGGCTCCCGACCCAACACACACACACCTCCTCCTCCTCCTCCTCCTCCTCCTCCTCCTCCTCCTCCTCCTCCGCCTCCTCCTCCTCCTCCTCCTCGTCCTCCTCCTCCTCCTCACACACACACTCACACACACAACAAAGACACACACACCCTCCCTCAGCACAGAGAGCCACCCGGACCAGCAGGCCCTGTCTGGTTTCGCTCTCCCTCGCCGTCCTCGGCAGGGCCCTCGCGGTCGCCCCTTCGACCCCCCCCCGGCCCCCTTCTGGCCTCTCGGGGCGGCTGAGACTGGCCACGGGCCACGTGGGGCAGGACGAGATCTACCGGCTGCTCACCCTGCCCTCTGGGCTGGGCTCCGTCGAGGCCAACTGGATAGTCGGGAGGCCAGAGCACAAGCGCACATTTAAAGCCGTGAGCCTCTCGGACGCCCGAGGACGGTGTGCTTCTCCGCCGGAGCCCGACGCCCTCCTCGCACCCGTATACTCCTCTGACGACCCCCGGCTGCATCCCCGGCCTTTTGGTCAACCGGTGGTCCCAGCAACGGGCCGCGACGGCCTGCAGAGGAGGAAAAGGTACCCGTACCGCTACCCTCCGCTCGTTTCTCCTCTTGTTGGGCCTCCTGGGAGGCCCTCGTCGCCACCGCTGGACTCGCCTCGAAATTCTGGTCAGAACGCACCTGGGGATAGGTCCTGGGGGTAGCGGTATCGGTACCTTTTGGTTTCCCCAGGCCTCTTGGACATTCCATTCTGCCCTCCATCCACCGACACAGCTTCGTATGTTTGGGGGTGCAGCGTTGCCATCCTGCACCTGCGACGCCAGTGGGGGGTGTGGGGAGAGGGTCGGCCGCGGGCAAGGAGACGGCCCGCGGATGCCCCTGGCGTTTGTGATCGTTTGTGGTCTCCGCCCTCCCGGTGAGAGTTCTTCGCCATCTGGGACCGGCTCAACGGGATCCTGGGGTGCGCCGAGTTTTATTACGGTCGGAACGGCTACATGTGGCATATATTAGAGGAGCAGTGGAAAACGGGCGTATGGTACCTCGAGATCAAGGAGTCAATTTTCCATAGTCTCAAAAATTTGAACGGAGAATGCATCAGCGACGACGAGTGGATGTTCATGTTCAAGAGCACCGTCGAGGAATTCAAGGAACAGCATCCTGGCTTTGTTGGAGCACGTGCAATCATGACCTTCCTCAAACTACTTCCAGAGGATGATGCCCGGCAGGCGTTCAGACGAACGGTCGCGCTCAAAGCAAAGTACCCAGATTACATAGCTGGTTTCGACCTGGCCGGGCCAGAGGACCATCCGAATTCTTCTATGTTTGCGGAGATGTTCGAGGAGGAGCGATCAAAGAGCAAAGAGGCTGAGCAGCTGCCCCTAATGATACACGCTGGGGAGACGCACGTGACGGCAGCTCAGCACCACGTGGAGGCAGTGTGCATGAGTTTTCCCGGTTGCCGCATCGGCCATGGTTTCGCGCTGGTGCGACGGCCCAATCTGTGGCCTGAGGTCAAGCAGAAAGGCATTTGTTTGGAAGTGTGTCCTATCAGCAATCAGGTGCTGGGCTACTTCCCGCAGCTTGCGGCGCACCCAGCGCCCACGCTCCTGCGTTGTGGACTCCCGATGACTATCTCGCACGACGATCCTGGGATTTGGCACTACAGCGACGTCTCGTATGACTGGGTCGCAGCGACCAAGGCTGCGCGGCGTGCGAAACGGGCAGGACGAGAGGGGGGGCCCATACTGAGGCGGCCGGCTTCTTGAAACGACAGTGCTCCTGGCACCCGCCAAGAGGCGGGGGCGTTCGAGAAGTGCTCCCCCTTCACCCCTTTCACCCCCTTGTGGCCGCCGCCGACAAGGCTTGGAGCCTCAACCTCGCAGAGATCAAGGCCCTGGCCCGCAACTCGATCATCTACTCGACGCTGCCGAGCGACGAGAAGGCGGCCTTCCTGAGCGCCTGGGAGAGCGCGTGGCAAGGCTGGGTACGGGAAGCGCTGGCCAGCCCCGGCGAGTGAGCACGGGCACGCGCGGCCGTCGCGGTGACTCCGCGGGAGGTGTGGGTGAGCGACGAGGGCGAGGGCAGAGGTGACCTGGACGAGGATGGGGACGAGGAGGAGTTAGGATTGCGTCGGGCATGTCCCTCTGCAGGAGGAATATTCAAAGATAGTCCAAAGATAGTATGGGGACGAGTTTTCTATTATTTTTGATTACTCTTGATTCTTTGTCGCCTATTCTTTACTTTCGTCCAAAATCCACCTGAAAGATGGCATGCCCGACCTAGAGTGAGGAAGGACAAACTAGAGGAACACATAAGCTTTGGGAGTTCCGCGCGGCGTTCTTCGGTCGGCTTTGGGCCCCCACTGGCGGCGCTTCCGGCGTCTCGCCTGGTGCGCTCCGCGTACCTGGGGAAGGGGTGGCCAGCGCCGATCCAAGAAGTCCGCGCGGACGTCCGAAAGGTTGAGTTTGTGCCGTATGTCGGTGTTTTGAGGGAGAAAAACGTCATAAAGATGACTTTTTGGCGCTCCGCGCGGAGCGCCAAAAGGTTCTGCTTCTGTGTTGTTTCCTTGTTCTGGGGAGGGATCGGGCATTCGTATCCGCGGTACGAGTGAATCTTCCCAAGTCTTGCCCAGACGTTCTGGAGCATTCGCAGCCTTCCCGAGCACTCTGAACCGGCTGCGGCGCCTCGTACATTTTCTGTCTTCTGGAGCCGTTAGCCCTCAGATATCCCCTGGTCGTCCGTATCCGATGCTGTTCGTAGATTGCCCCCGTGTTCGGTTTGCCTGCGGTGAGCGACGGGGGAAATGAGAAGGAGAAGGCCTTCTCAGAAGGCTCGTAAGTCCTCCGGTATTTTTAGAAGTTTTCTAAGCCTTCCCCGAAGGCACAAACAATTTCTCAGACGGCCGGACGGCTTCTGAGAAGTCCCGCCGCCTTCTGAGAAGGCATTCTTCTTTTCACTTCCCCCCTCGCTCGCTTCCGAGGTTGGGGCGAGCAAGAGTTGCATCAACATAAATCCCCAGAGGTCTGCGTCCATTTCTTGGGTCGCTTCCGGGCCCCCCTTTATGCATCTCCCTAGCGAATCACGCCATGGGGCGGCGCCAGAGGCGGTGTCTGGGGTCTGGGGATGGAGGTTCAGACAGGACCGAAGACATCCGCAAAGTTCTCCAACAATGTCATGCTCATCGAAGAGAAACTGCATGAACAGAAACTTCGGCGCGCGGAGCGCCGAAAGTTTATGTTTATGCCGTTGTGCTGTTCCTCCGCCTATTATCGATTGTCTCCTAGAGGGGGGAGCGACTTTTGACACCCGGCCGGCGCCTCGTTTTTTGACCCGGCTGGTTTTTGACCGCCGCCACCTTTCCTCGTTCTCTCCTCGTTGTTTTTTACAGAGCTGGCGCTGCGATGAGAAAGAGGTGTGGCGCGGGTGGGAGCAAAGAACCTGTGCTCACGTCTACAGGCCGTTCGTTACAGTCGGATTGTACGGGCGAGGAGAAGTTGCGCGATGGCCATGATGCATCGTGCCCAGGGCTAAGCGTTAAGAAATAGTATTCCCCGTCCGTCTCGAGGTGGCGCGCGGGGTTGTCTTGTGGTCATGCGGTTGTCCCGTAGTTGCCGCGTGGTAACAAAGTTTGCGGACTCAAATCGATTTCCTCCGTCAGAGCCCGACACATCGCCGCTTTGGTTCTCTTGAGCCGTTCTTGACGCCACCTTGGAGCCGCAGGACCCCCTCTTGGAGAATTCTTGAAGGAGATTTGAGTCATCTTGGAGGTCTCACAAGGCCCATCGGAAGAGAACAAGCGAGACGACACAAGTCAACAAATCATTGGAATGGCGCAGGCCTTTGAATTATTTGACATCCCGGGGGGTGACCTTGGGAGTCTCCTGAGTCACATGGATTGGAGCCTTCTTGTGACGGTGTTAGGGCCCCCTGGAGGCTGGAGGCGTTGCCGATGCAATTGTAAGTTAGAGTGTGTGAGATTTGGAGGTTGGGCTACCTGAGTCTCTCTTGGAGCCATCTTGTGCCAACAATGACCTGGTGTCCCCTCGCAAAATCAGATTGCTGACCCCATTGGAGAGGGAGGGTAATCCTTCAGTTGGAAGAACGGACTCGTGAAATCACCTATGCCAAGAAAGCTGGTGGGACTTCTTCTGACTTGCCTGTTAGGGTGTGGGGGGGGGCAGGACCGCATTGGTGGTCGTGGCAAGGGTCTTCCGGAGACTGTCCACGATCGGTTTCGATTGACTCTCCTGGCTTTTTTGGTTGAGATGTCCTCGGCTGGAAACAGCCGTTGCAGCAGGCCTCGGGCTCTCAGGCGGGTCACCGCCGGCACCCTCGTTCGCACGGGGCACGAGCCAGGCCGACATCCGGAAGGGAACGCACCCCCAGAGATGGGGTCGGCTGGGCACAGCGAGAACAGAGAGGAAGACGAGTGGGCGGCGACGACGATGAGGAAGAAGAAGAATAGGAAAAAGAAAAAGGAGATGAGCAGGGTGAGGAGGAGGAGGAGGAGTAAGAGGAGGAGCCTGCCCGAAAAGCGTTCCAAGGCCACGACTACTCACGAAGACGTGGTTCTACGTCTTTGTTGTTGCACCCTTGGGCCTCGCTGGAGGCTGCCCTCCCACTCCTCGGACGACTCGGGTTTTTTTCTGGCCCCTGGCCCCCAGGACCTCTCAATCTTCTCCGCGTGCTTGGCATCCCGTTCCGAGCTGTTTTCCTCGCCGTTCCGGGGCCTCCGGGGCCTGGAAAGTGGCTCTCGGACGCCGCCGACGCCGACGGACCCTCTGGGCGCCTCCTGGGCGCCAGGCCTGCTGGGGCGCGCCGCCAGGCCGCCCCCCCCCCCCCGCGGGGTGCCCTCCCGGCCCGTGCCCGAGCCCCCCCCGCCGGTGCCGAGATCGGATCCCATTCCTCCCTCTCCTCCCTCTCCTCCCTCTCCTCCCTCTCCTCCCTCTCCTCCTCCTCCTCCTCCACCTCCTTCTCTTCCTCCTCCTCTTCCTCCTCTGCCTCCCCCCCGCAGGGAGCCGGTGTGAGCGGCGCCAGGAGCGGCAGCATCGGTGGCGACGGCGCTGTCGCTGCGACGGCGTTGGCGGCGGTGGCGGCGGCGTTGGCGTCGTCGACGGCGACGGCGTCGACGACAGCGGCGGCGGCGGTGGCGGCGGCGACCGAGAGAGGGCAGTCAACAGACCACACGGGCGACGGAAGACGACGAGGGCGGCGTCCACACACGGGCCCACTCGGCGGCCGAGTGGGCCCCAGACTGGGCCAGATCTGCACGATTGACTGCGCCTAATTATTCGGCCGCTTCAGCTGCTGGATGGGCTCGGGCGCCAGTCTCAGAGGGGAGCTCTGGGGTCCTCCTGCTCCCTTCGTCCTCGCATGTTGGTCCTAATTCTTCCTGTCTCTTCTTGTACCCCGCGCCAGCGGAGTCGTCCTCCTCGTCCTCGCGCTCGTTCATCCTGCTGCTCATCCCTGTCTTTGCCCTCCCCGTCCCAGTTCTCCACCGTCTCCTCACGAATGCTCCCGCTCGCCGTCCTCGTCACCCATTCTCCCTTTTCTTGCCCTCTAGGATGATGTGTACAGGTGTTCAACTCGGAGCCTCCAGCGTCTTAGGCAAAAAACACGGCGGGCAATCTTCATTTCACAATGCCGGAATCCAGCGGCTGTTTCCGGGGTCCCGGAGCGCGAAGGACAACATCGCAGCGGAACGCTAACACCTGTCCCGCAAAATTGTATGTTTGTTTTGTTCGTGGTCCCAAGATCTTACGACCCTTTCCCTGTGGCCATGTTTGTTGTATCCTTGGCTTGCTGATAGCCCTGGGGCACGAAAACAAACCCAGGAGGCCGAAACAGTGGAGGAACAACGCCAGGATTGAACAGAACCAAACCGCCAGAGGTCTGGGCTCATGTATGGCCGCTGCAGTGGCTTCCAGCTCGCCCTTTGAGCCGTGTCTGGCTTCCTGACTGGACTCCATGCCAGAGGGAGTCCTTCGGAGGCCCTGGCCGCTATTTTCTACCAGCTCTAAACATTCATCTCTTCATGTCGGTGCTGATTGGACAGGTTCCCTCTGTTCCTCTGGGCACATTCCTAAGATTGTCATTGCATTTGGCTTGTCAGTCTTAGGAATAGGGACAAGCTTAAGTCGGGCACGTCCCTCTACAGGGGGACTTTGCAGTAATAGTTCAACTGCAGTCAGGTGGCGAGTTTTCGGTTTTGTTTGTTCTTGACTATCTTTGCTTGTTTCCCTGATTCTTTGTTGTTCTTCCGAAATCTGCCTGCAGGAGGACGTGCCCGACCTAAGGATGAGCTCTCGCCGCGGCCCCCTCCTCCTCCTCCTCCTCCTCCTCCTCCTCCTCCTCCTCCTCCTCCTCCATCCCCTCCTCCTCCTCCTCCTCCTCCTCCTCCTCCTCCTCCTCCTCCTCCTCCTCCTCCTCCTCCTCCTCCTCCTCCTCCCCCTCCTCCTCCCCCTCGACGGGCCCTGCGGCTCCTGCCGCGGCCCCCTCGCCGAGGACCTGCTCTTCGCCATGTGCCTGCGGCACCGCGGCGTGCACGTGGAGAACTACGGGTTCCTGGTGCCGGGCGGGCAGCCGTGGGGCGCGGACGAGTTGGCGCAGGAGCCCATGGGGACGATCGAAATGGGTACACATTGTTCACTTCTAATTTTTCGAAAGGTCTTGATTTTTTAGGGGGGGCAGGATCCTTTCATTTCTAATTGTTCTATCCTGGGCCTCTTCCTGACCACAAAGGGCCCAGGAACAATTAGAAATGAGCACGATTCGAAATGAACGGCGTGTCGAGAAAGACTGGGTACACATACCGCAGTTCTTCTGCATTTCGGACAGGGCCAGTGCTCGCTGTCGGTGTCGCCGCGGCGCGTGTCCGTCTGAAGCAGAAGGCCGCCTGTCCAACAGCGGCCGCTGTTGGTTTGCGACAGAATTTGTTGTTGGGCATGGTGCCCACTTTCTCCCTGCCCGTGTCGGGCGTCCCATGCCCAGCCTGTCTCGGGCGACGCCGGCTCTCCGTGGGCACCGATCCTCGCCAGGCCTCGGGGTCGGCCTGACCGATCCCGAGCTAACCGACACCGTCCGTGACGACCACATCGCCTCGTTCCATGGACGTGGGCCGGCTGGGCGGGAGCCTCGACTGGGCCCGGTGCTTGCAATCAGCGCCGACTCAAGAAGTCCGTGCGGATATCCGAAAGGTAATGTTTATGAAGGTTTTCGACGTCATAAGGCTGGCGTATACACCGATCGTGCGCCCAGGATTGTCATGGCCGAGATCGTCGCTTTCGGCGTGTAACTGACGCCCCCCATCTCCCCCTCCTCGTGTCCCTGCTCTCTTTTCATCCTGCTCCCCCTCCTCGTGATTCTTCGTGAGGGCACTACTATCTACTATTACCTTGACGATCGCGTTATTGCGTCCTTTCCCTGTGGGTTTCGAGTCGATTCGGTCGTTGCTTTGTTCGTTTCTTCTCCTCGCTCTCTTCTTCATCCTTGTCCTCCCTCCCCTCCACTACGCTCGACATCCCAGCCCCTGATGCTGTCCTCATCGTCTGCCCGCGTCGTCTCAGAGCGTGGGTAAGGCACATCATAAGTTGTCGCGCTGGGCTGCCCCTCCTCCCTCGGGATTTCCTGCTCCTGCCCGTTTTCTCCTGTATCTCGTCGTCGCCTCTCTTCTATTTCCCCGCTCCTCTCCTCTCCCTCCCGCCTCCGTCCTCCCTCACATCATCCTGAGGCCGCCACCGTTGGGCCCCCTGCGAGGCTGCTGATGCCCCAGCTCTGGCGCAGGGCACCTTGCCAGCCGGGCCGCCGCCACGATCGCGTGTTGGCGTTCGCGGCCCCGACGCGGGGTCGCCCGAGCACGGCCGCGGGCGAGGCGGCGGAGGAGGCGCACGCACGGCGCGCTGCTGGGAGGAGCTCCTCCGGCCTCCTCGTCGGGGCCTGCCCGGCTGCTGCCGACCTCGGCAGAGCCCGGCGAGGCGCACGAGAGGCGCTCTGGTCGGGCACCGGGGCGCGGCACGGCGTGGCACGTGCACCTCCTCCTCCTCCCCCTCCTCCTCCTCTTCCTGCTCCTCTTTCCTCCTCCTCCTCCTTCTCCCCTTCCTCCTTCTCCTCCTCCTCCTCCTCCTTTCTCAATCCCAGGAGTTTTTCGAGGGTCGGGGACGACGCCGGGGTGGTGTGGTGTATACTTTTCCCCCGTGTTCCAAGGGAAACAACGAGACATGTACACACCAGGAGCCCGTCTACTCCAGGATCCGCGTACCTGTGCGAAGTTCCAGCGCAGGGTCTGAAAGAGCGTCGGTGTACAGAGCTCGTTTCCCTGCCAGGGGCGGAACGCCCACTCAGACCCCCAGAGTCGACGCTCGTTCAGCGGTCGTGCGTGTTTGCTGAACGGCCCTGCCCTGCCGAAGTGTTCCTCGGGCGCGTTTAACCCCTGGGCCTCGCTCCTGGGGGCTCTGCAGCCCCCTCGAGTAGGCGCCCCGTTTGCCTCGAGTAGGCGCCCTCGAGCAGGCCCCCTCGGGTAGGCGCGTTTGCCTGTGGGCCTCGTTCGTGGGGGCAGTCGCTGTGCGGGTGGTTCCTCAGCCCCCCCCCCCCCCGAGTAGGCGCAGCTCGCCGAGCGCACGTGCAGCCGCGCGCAGATGCCCCTCTCGGGCGGAGCTGCGGCACGTCGGCGAGCACAAGGGCCTTCAGCGCCCGTGTCCTCCGTCCTCGTCGTTCTCGCTCTCGTGGTGGCGGTGCGCGTGCGCAGCGCGTTCTGCGAGCGCCGAGGCTGGCCGGCGGTCACCGGCGACAAGCCGCACAGGAAAGTGAGGGCGCGGCGCAGTTGTTGCCGTCCCACTGCCATAGGTAGGAGAGGGAGGAGGAGGAGGAGGAGGAGGAGGAGGAGGTGTCTCCACACTCCACACTTGCTGAACCTCCACCTGGGCGCCGCAGTCGCAGTTTTGGCGTAGCCCGACCCCTCCGTCACGCTGAGCTGTAGTCTAGGTGGGATTGATACCTCCTCTTCTGCATGGATAGGTCCTTCGTCGGTGTCGTGCCGCCTCGACCTGGTCTGCGTCGCCTGCCACTTCTGATTCCGATCGTCGAGAGCGATTGTCTCGCACTTTCCGCCGTTCCTGCGCATGCTCGCATTTACAGTAGCCAGATACCTCGGCAGGACTGTGCGCGCAAGGCCGTCACGATCTCGAGGAGTAGCACGATGTTCGCGAGGGGCGTTGCGACGTGCACCCGCTCGATGCAGTGCTGGCGTCACAAGTGATGCTTCCACTTGCACGTGCACATCGTTGGGACGTCGTGCATCTCACCCTCTTGCCTGCGCTGCCGAACCACTGCTTGCTCACAGCCCACATGCAGCTCGAGTGCGTTCACGCGCTGCGGAGCCACGCAACCCGAGCAACATACTCGGCTGACAGGTCTTTTGGTGCGCGGGCATCGCACTTCGCTGTGTCATCATCTGCTCGGGTTGCCTCACAACTGCTGCTCGCATACCCGGACTTCGCGTGCTCCGCCCGCGGCCAAGGCAATTCCTACGATTGCATGAGCACTGCGACGAGCAAATTACGACACAGAGACGACCACCTCGTGATCGGGAGGCGTGGCTGCGGATTGTCTCCAGCTGCAGCACCCGTGCTGGCTTCCGTGGCTCCCTTGCGATCGAGCCCACGCTCCGATGCATTGTGCTCAGAGGGCGCAGGGCATCTCATGGATGGGTGAGGAGGAGGAGGAGGAGGAGGAGGAGGAGGAGGAGGAGGAGGAGGAAGAGGAGGGAGGAGGAGGAGGAGGAGGAGGAGGAGGAGGAGGAGGAGGAGGAGGAGGAGTGACGTGCGCACCAGTGACACGACACGGGCCGGGCGTGGGCGTGCAACGGCGTGCACCCGCTTCGCCCGATGGGGCCAGCGACATCGGTCCGTTGCGCGCTTGCGAGGGAGAACCGCCCAGTCAGTCGCAGAGGTGCGCCACTGACTCTGCTCGCGTTGATTGACGCTTTCTCGATATGTGACGGGATCAGAGGTCGTGGAAAGTGCACCATCGTCGCCGTCCACATCTTCAGCATCATGACCACCATCATGATCACCATCCCCTCTGGTCGTATAACCCAGGCTCTGTTGTCTTGGAAGAGCTCGCAAGGCCCATCGGTCACATAATAGAGCAGGAGGTCCCTGGGGCAGCGAAAGGTAAGCGGGGCTGCGTGGGGTATCGGTTCGAACCTTCGGCCTCCGCAGGAGTTCGTGGTGAATTTCCACCAGGCGTACGACGCTCTCCTGAGCGGCAGCGGCGGCGATCCTCTAGTGCATTCTCCTCAACTTCCTGATCACCTTCGCCGTTCGGTGCTCGCTCTCGCGCTCGTGTACGCTGCCGCTGCGCACTCTGCACTTCTGCGCTGGCCGCTTCCAAGGGCTCGGCGGTGCGATTCGTCGGCCCACCCAGCCTTTCTTCGATCGCCGCCGCTTCGAGCCAGGCCGCGCGGTCAGACCTCACGCAGCAGATCTGCGGCAGGCCCGCGCGCGGCGAGGGCGTGCCCGTTGCGATCGCCGCGCTCGGCCGTGCTCCGAGGCGCTCGCCCTACTGGGACGCGCAGCCGCCGCCGCTCCACGGCAGCCACCGGGAGGGCGGGACGCAGCAGCGCAAGCTCGCAGTCCCAGACTTTCGGTGGCTCGGAACCTTTCGAGACGGCCGGCTCTTCCTCACGAGGTCGGTTCGGGGAGGGTACCTTCATGTTCTTTGTGTGCGTGCTGCATGCTCTTGTGCATCCTGGGGGGGGGCCCTTGAATGCCCTTCAGTTTGGCCAGCGGAGGGTCTCGCGTTCTTGAAGGATGCTTTTCTGTCCTGAGTCTGGCCGTACTGGGGGGCCCCCAAGGCCAGCTTCGGGCCTCGGGGTCATTGAAAAACCAACCGCAATATCCAGAGGAATTGCCGGCCCGAGGAAGGGTTGGAGAGGTCTGGTGATCTGGTGGCGGAAACAGAACGAGCCGCTTCATCTCTGGCGCGGTCTCACACAACAGGTACTCCGTGCCACAGAGGGTACGCGGGGCTGTGCCCAGACCTCTGACGCCGTGAGTTTTCCAAAGCGCCTGGCGGCCGCAGATGGTGTGGCGCGAGGGTGGTGGCCTTCTGACAAGGCGGGTGGCCTCTTAGAAGGCAGGAGGCTTTGGGCTCGCGTGCTTCTAAAAAGGCTTTAGGAGACCCCCGTCTTCTCAGAACGCCGCCCCTCTCTCGCGCCACCCCGCCTTGCGCGCCGCCAAAAGCACGCCTTTGGAGCTCTCGGCCCTATCCCCCGTCGGGACCGGTCTATCGCTGGGGAGGGGGTGTTGCCATGAATCGACTACACGTAAGAGTGACTTTTCGCCAGAGTGACCTTTGGTGCGGGTCAACTGGGATCCCCCGATCGCCGAACGCGATGCGATAGCAGCGTGTTGCGCGCCTGTGTTTGGTCACCCCGCGGCCCCCAAAAAGCCGCGCACCAAAGGTCACTCTTACCTAGCGTCACTCTTGCGTGTTGCCGAATGTTGGCCCTGGCGACCCCCGGGGTACCGATGCAGTCAAGAGAAGTGTCAGTGTTCGGATCTTGTTCGACGCACTTTGGTCCTGCGCGTCTGGAGGAGTCGGGAGGTGGCGATGATCGGGGAACGCCCATGATTCGGGTGTTGTTGAAGGTGCCCCTGGCCCAAGGTACCCCCCAGCTTTTCGCTCCAGTTTGGAACCTCTGGAGACCCCTGGTCCTCGTGAGGGCCGTGGGGGCCTCCTTGGAAGTCCTGGGGGCACCTTGGGCCAGGGGTACTTCTAGCAACATCCGAAGGATACAGCTTGCACGATAGCCAAGAAGAACCCCAGATTGGGAGGAGCACTCTTGCGTTCTTTGTCTCTGGACTCTCCACCTTGGGATGCTGCTCGCTCGGGGCATCTCCACCGGGCCCCGGGCATTCGGCAATGGGGGCTCGCGCTATTGACTCGCACTCTTGTGGCCACGCGTCGACTGCACACCGTGCCGATCCTGGCCGGGCCTCCTCCTCCTCCTCCTCCTCCTCCTCCTCCTCTTCCTCCTCCTCCTCCACAATTACTCAATATGAATACTACTCTCCCTCTTCCCCTGATGGCGTACTGGGAATATTCGACCCCCCCGCGTACTGGTTTTTACACACAGGATTCCCGGGAGTTGGGTTTTCGCCTGCGTTTTTTTTTTCAAAATGCTGCTCTCGCTGAGGCGCCGGCCTCATTTCTGCTCCCGAATCTTTCCGAATCGTGCTCCCGCTGCAGCGTGGGCTTCATTTTCGGATCGGTGTTTTGCCTCCGTCGTTCAGGATGGCGTTCTCGCCCCAGCGCGGGCCTCTTTCTCGCGCGCCCATCCGCCCGCCACCACCGCGCCGCACCACGCCCCGCCCCGCCGCACGCACACCCACCGCCACTTCCACCCACCAACGCACGCACGCACGCACGCGCACCACCACCGCGCACCGCCACCACCACCGCACTACCCCACCCACCACCACCACGCTACACCGCGTCACACCACATCACACGCGCGCACACACAGACACACACGCACGCACGCACGCACAACACACACACACACACACCACCACCGCCACCACCACCACCACCGCCATCACGCACGTACGCACCTGGCCCACCACCAAACCACCAAGACGCCACACCACGTCACACCACAGCACACGCGCACACGCACACACACACATACACACCACCACCACAACAACCACAACCACGCACACACGCACACACGCACGCACGCACGCGCACCACCACCCACTACGCACACGCGCGCGGAGCCACAGGTCCGCTACGACACGCGTCCGCGGATAGAGAAAATCAGCGCCATGGTAAGGGATGGGAGGGAGGGGTAGGATGTCAGATGTTGACGCGAGCGCACCTAACTTGTCCCCCTCCCCCTCCCCCTCCCCCTCCCCCTCCGCACCGTTCTGGCCGGCGCGGCCGCGCCTCGCGCCCGCTCGCTGCGCGTCACCACAGCCTTCCTGGCCGAGGCAGGAGGGCGCACACACCGAGTCGGCGGAGCGTGGAGCGGGGCGCGTGCGGGGGCGGCCTTCCAAGGACGGCCAGGGGCCTCGCGTCTCTCTCGGGAGGGAAAGAAACACACAGACACATTGAATCGTCGATTCCCCCGAAAATATGGGAAAGTATGGAGAGTGGGGGGGAAGACAAAAAACCAGACAATCTGGGGAAAAAATCGGGAATCCTGTTGTTTGCGTCTATTTATTTGTGTGTCCCAGGGCCCCTTCAACAACAGTGGGGAAATATTTGGAAATATGGGAAAATATGGAAAGTGGGGGGGAAGACAAAAAACCCGAAAAGATGGGAAACATGTGGGGAATCCTGTTGTTTGTGTCTATTTATTTGTGTGCCCCAGGGCCCCTTCAACAACAGCCTTCCTGGCCGAAGCAGGAGGGCGCGCACGCCGAGTCGGCGGAGCGTGGAGCGGGGCGGCGCGGGGGCGGCCTTCCAAAGACGGCCAGGGGCCTCTTGCCTCTCAGAAGGCAGGGGCCTTCTGCGGAGCGCCCGGATGCCCCCTTGTGAGGGCTTCTTTCTCGGGCGTCTGAGATGATGGGAGGGGGGACTAGTGTTAAGTCGGGCCTGTCCCCCTACGGGCCGATTTTGGACGAACAATTGAAGATACCAATAGAATGCCCTGAACATGCTCAAAAATGGTCATAACAATCGTCCCCAGACTATGTTTGTACTATTTTTGAATATTCCCCTGTTGGGGGACAGGCCCGACTTAAGATTAATGGATGGGGCCGCGAGGGTGGCAGAAAAGGGCTTCGGGGCCCAAAAGGGGGCCTGCAGGGCCCGAGAAGTGCCCGAGAAGTGCACCTTTTCCTTTTCTTCCCCCCCCCGTGTATCGCCCCCCCCCCCCCCCCCTTTGGGGCAGTCGGTGGGGGCAGTCGTTCAGGAATAGGCCCAGGAGGCTTCAGACCCTGGGGGATTCCTTCTTTGATGATGGTGGCGGTGTTAACCGTGACCGGTCCAGGGTCGGAGTTCCACCGGCTTCCAGACCCTGGATGCCTCATTCACGGGTTCCTTATCCAATGCCCTCAACCGCAGCTTGGGAGGGCGTTGGGAAGCATCGTGCCTTCTGAGGCGCTCGAGCCCGTCGTTTCGGGAGGCCGCCCGCCCCCCCTCGCGCGACATCCTTCTCAAGAAGTGGCGAAGCGTCACGGCGTGCCTGCAGGCCTGCCAAGCAATGTTCTGAGAACCCTTGCTGTGTGGTTTCCACGGAAAGTCCTCAGAACATTTCTGGCCCAGACGGTCGTGCCTTAACACGTCGGGTTTATGCTCTGAGAACATTGTTATTGTTCTTGGAACATTTTCGGGTTCTAAGAGCATGTCGTGGTAGGCCTACAGGAATGCCGGGGCGGTCGGTCCCTGCTCAACCTTTTGCGCGGCGCCAGCCGGTCCCGGGCCCAGGGCGGGTATGGGTCTGGCCCCTGGGCGCAGTCGGTGGGCCACGCGCGAAGGGGGGCAGTCACGCTGCGTCTTCGGGGGATTTTTTCTGGCTCCCCAACGTTTGTGTCTTTGCTTATGCCCGACGCGGATTCGACGCGGGCCTGGTGTGGATGCGACGCGGATTCGACACGGATTCGACACGGTTCCGACGAGCCCGGCATGGATTCGACACGGATTCGACGCAGATAGGGCCGCGACGGGACAGACAAGGTCCCCCGAGGATGCAACACAAGGGTCAGGGGAGGGAAAGGGGCTTCTTAGAAACACCCTGCTTCTTAGAAGGCGCGGGCCTTACCTATACAGATAAGGCCGCGCCTTCTGAAAAGCAGCCTCCTTCTAGCAGCTTTCCCCCCTTCCCCCCGTGCCCCCCTCGGCGCGCCGCCAAATCGGCATGATGTGCATGTGGCGTCCCCCCAGGGGAGGCGCCGCAGCAACGACAGCAGGACGGGCAGGAGCAGCAGGCAAAGGCAGGCTGCAGGGGAGCGGGGAGAGCAGGAGCGGGAGGAGCGAGCAGGATGAGCGTTTTGAAGCTTGGGGGAAAGGGGGTAATTACGTGGGCGGGTCAACGAGAGATGATTGAGGGAGGACAGCGAGGAGGAGAAGGAGGAAGAGGAGGAGGAGGAGGAGGAGGAAAAAGAGGAGGGTGGGAAAGAGAGCAACACGGGCGAAACGGCGGATGAGGAGGAAGGGGGATGAGGAGGAGGAGGAGGAGTAGGAGGAGGAGGAGGAGGAGAAGGAGGAGGAGGAGGAGGCGGATGAGGGAGAGGAGAAGGGGGAGGCGCACAGATGGGTGGGAGAAGAGGGGGATAAAGAAAGAGCGGGGCGAGGGGAGGATGGAGTGGATGAGGGAGGAGAGGAAGACGGGAAAGAGAGATGGCGAGGAGGTTGGAAACGGACGGAGGATGGGAGGAGGAAGAGGAGGTATGAGGAGTCGGACGAGCCACTCGCCCGAGGAGCAGGAGCAGGAGTAGCGGGAAGGAGGAAATGATCATCGGGACAAAACGCAGGGTCTCGGGGCTGTCCTGGCACAGGGCGATGAAGCGCTCTCGCCTCTAGCGCCACCCTGATCCTCGAAGGGATCCGACTGACAGTTCGGTGCCCTTGGACCGCTCGACTCCTTCCCTTGGCCCGGTCCGTTTTTCCCAATCGGTTTTCGAGGCCTCCTGGGGACCGAACGGGTGCTCCAGGGGGCCAAATCTGCAACAAGAAGCACACAATTCCAGTTCCCAGTTTCTCCCAGAAGCTCCTCGCCCTGCCCACATGCACGTCGCGTGTCTTGCCCACCGCGCTGTGGCGAAGAGGCTCCCTTCCCGCTCGGCCCTACCGTGTGAGCCGCTGGCGTCGCTCGTCGTTTCGAGATCTGGCGGCGGAGGGGGTGGGGGGGGGCGGCCCGGCCGGCGCCCGCTCCCGCCCGTGGCTCCTCCGGCGGACGGGGGGCGGCCCAGCTCGGCGCGCCCCCGGCGCCCGAGACCGGGGGGGGGGCGCTCCGGCAGGCTGCCTGCTCGTGGCCCACCCGGTGGAGAGTCCGGGCCACCTCGGGCGCGTGCACGCCGCGGTGCTGGCCGCGCGCCGGCGCGAGGCGCCCGCGTTGCGGAGGGCTGGGGGGGGAGGGGGGGCGCCCCGCAGCGTGCCCTCGCAAAATAAGGAGGAGGAGGAGGAAAAGGAGGAGGAGGAGGAGGAGGAGGAGGAGGAGGAGGAAGAGGAGGATACGATCGGGCCGAGGTATACAAGATCGAGGTCGGTTCGGGGAGGGTACCCCCCAATGTGCTTCATGCTTGTTGGCGGTTATTGTGCATCCTGGGGGGGAGACCCTCGAATATTCTTCAGTTTGGCTGGCAGGTGGAACCCGTTGTCCTTGAAGGATGCTATTCTGTCCTGGCTCTTGCCGTAGGTGCGCGTGCACGAGGTCACGTTGGCCTCCAGAGAGCTCATTACGCGGGCGTTCCTAGCACGAGGGAGGCCCCGCGGACGGGGGGGACGTTCGTGCACGTGGATGGGCGCGCATGTCCTCGAGATCTTAAAAAGACACAGCATAGGCACTGGCTTCTGGAGGTCTGCGCAGATTCCTCGGTCGGCGCTGGACCCCTTCGGCGCCGCATCTTGCGCCACCCCCGGCGCGCTTTGCGCCCTGGGCCTGGGGGAGGGGGGGAGAATCCATCGCCGACCCGAGACATCACCGCGGATCTCCGAAAGTTCATACGTCGAGGACCGATGACGTTTTGTTGTTCATGCTGTTGGTTTCCACCTTTTCGAGCGCCCCTAGTGCGCCCTCGTGGCCACGCTGGATCCGCCTGGAGGTGCTGGCCAGAGCGCAGCGGCTATGCGCAGCTGGAAGGGCCAGCCGGGGTGGACCCAGGACCGGGACGAGAAGCATGCCCCCGAGTACCGTCGGGGCCTTGAAGAAGGAACGCTTTTCGTTGTGGAAGGGGCTCCGTGTTCCTTAAGTGTTTCACAGCTTGCCTCAGGTTTTCCTTATGTTTTCGACAGGAAATCGAAGGTTAACTTATGGAAAAAAGGGGCCTCGTTCCTTATTTGGGGTTCCTTAAGTCAAGGCCCCGACTATAAGGGATCGATTGCAGAATTGATGTTCCCAAACATTTCTTTCCCCACCGAATCTACGACGAAGGCGTAGACTGTCTGTCCATCTGCTGGGAGCTCTAAGTGTGGTCCCGTAGATTCGAGGAGCAACCTCCTAGTTGGGGATAAAACAGTTCTATCGTCGCTCCCCGCTCCTTCGGACTATCTTGTGTTTTTTGGTTTCCCGCGGCATCCCGTCCCCACGTACAGCATTTTGCCCGACACGGGGGCTCTGTCGAGCGGGGTCGATGCACGCGTTGTGGCGTGCGCTCGTGTGGCGATGTTCATGCACATCCTATTTCGAGTCCTTCCTTCACGTTGCCGTTGAACTTTATCGCATTATGGTGGCAGCCGCGTTGTGTGAAGTTCGTGTGGCCGCGCTCTCCTCCTCCTCCTCCTCCCCCTCCCCCTCCTCCTCCTCCTCCTCCTCCTCCTCCTCCTCCTCCTCCATTTTTTTTTTTTTTGTTTTTTTTTCTCTCTCTCTCTCTCTCTCTCTCGTTTTCCAAAAAAAAATGTCCTGTAGCCGATCCCCTACTCGATGACTGCAGGGGGAGCGTCGAGTGGCCCGGAGCCCCGGGCGCACCGTGTGGAACGCCCTCCGGGGGCTCGTCTCGGGCCCCGGGGGACGACCGCCGGGCCGCCCCCGGCAGGGGCGGCGCGTCGCGCCCAGCGCCGCGGGAGCGCCTCGGCAGATCGCCCCGCCCGCGGGCAGGACCCTCCGCCTCCTCCTCCTCCTCCTCCTCCTCCTCCTCCTGCTGCTGCTCCTCCTCCTCCTCCTCCGTCGCACTCCTCCTCCTCCTCCTCCTCCTCCTCCTTCTCCTCCTCCTCCTCCTCCTCCTCCTCCTCCTCGGCCGGGGGCGCGGTCGAGGCGGGCAGGACCCGCAGCAGGCTCCTGCGCAGAGGAGGAAATTTCGAGCAGTGGCGAAGCGTCCTGGCGTGCCTGTAATTAGCCCTGCCAAGCAGTGTTCTGAGAAACTTCTGTGGCTCCCGCGACATGTTCTTTGAACTTTTTTCTGGCGGAGTCTGTCTTGTTTTGTCTCATCGGGTTGATGTTCTAGGAACATGGTTTTTGGTATTACAACATCTTTGGGTTCTAAGAACATTTCGTGGTAGGACTATAGAAATGCCGGGGCGGTCGGTCCCTGCTCTGAGGAGGAAAAGGTAGCCATACCGCTACCCTTCGCGCGGTGTCCCTTTTTTGGGCCTCGGGGCTGGCCCTCGTCGCCACCGCTGGATCCGCTTCGAGCTTCTTCACGCTGCGCGTGACCCCACCAGCCCATCCAGCAACGGTGCCCCGACGAGTTGCCTTGATGAGGGAAGTGGGGAAGCACGCAGAGGAGCAAAGGCCCGGGGAAACCGTCATAGTCATACCCCAAGACGAGGAGCAATCGGAGGAGGAGGAGGAGGAGGAGGAGGAGGAGGAGGAGGAGGAGGAGGGGGGGGGGAGGACAAGCTAGGTGCGCTCGCGCATAAATGACGTCCTATCCCTCCCTCACATCCCTTACTATGGCGTAGCTCTCCTCCCTATTCGCACAATTGGATGTCGCAGCATGGCATAGCATTAAATGGCAAAGCATGGTGTCGAAGATAAACGCGTAGCATGAGAAAGCATGGCGTGGCGACGCCACAAAGTGGGAGGGGTCTTCTGCGGACCCAAACATCGACGAATCGACACCGATTGTGTAATCACTTCCGATGGTTGTTTCTGGAGGTCATTTTTTAGATGTCAGGGCCTGCTTGGAAGGACCGGAAACCATGCCGTGGCATGGCACTGGAAATAATGACGCCAGCGCTGCAGCGGGAACACAATTCGGAACGAGCGGAAGCACGGACATGAGGCCAGCGCTGCAGCGGGAGCATGATGCGGAACGAGCGGTGGCATGAACATGAGGCCAGCGCTTCAGCGAGAGCAGCATTATTAACAAGAACCCAAGCGCGGAAGCGCGGAAATGAGGACGCGTAGCCTGACATAGCATGGCGTAGCGACGCCCCAAAGGGGGCTTCTGCGGACCAGAAAATCAACGAATCGGCACCGAATGCGGAATCACTTCCGACAGTTTTTTCGGAGGGGACATTTTCTAGATTTTTGGGGCCTATGTGGAAGGACCGAAAATAATGCGTGGCATCGCGCTGGAAATAATGACGCCAGCGCTACAGCAGGAACACGATTCGGAACGAGCGGAAGCGCGGAAATGAGGCCAGCGTTGCAACGAGAGCAGCATTTTGAACAACAATTCAAGCGAAAACCATTTCCCGGGAATCTTGTGTGTACACAACCAGTATGCGGAGGGGGTCTGGCCATTTCCCGGACGTCACCAGGGGAGAGAGGAGAGTAGTATTCAAAAGGTTGTATTGTGGAGGAGGAGAGGAGGAGAGGAGGAGGAGGAGGAGGAGGAGGAGGAGGAGGAGGAGGAGGACGAGGAGGAGGAGGAGGAGGAAGCGGGGGGGGGGGGAGGAGGAGGAGGAGGGAGGAGGGTGGAGGAAGATAACTAGGCGGATGAGGAGGAGGAGGAGGAAAAGGGCGAGCAGAAGGACCAGAGGCCTCTTGGGTGCCTCTCGGGGTCTCTTCGGATGTCTCTTCGGAGCTTCCGGGGCGGCCTCTTTGGGCCTCTTGGCGGCCTCTTGGGGGTCTCTTGGGGCCTCCTGTGCTCGTCTCGGGCCCCTCTTGGAGCTCTCTTGGGGCTCTCTTCGGAGCCCAGGAGGGCCTCTTAGGGCTGTCGTGACAGAGGGGGGGGGGTCCCACCGTTTAGTCCCCCCTCTGGGGCCATCAACATCGCCTCTTGGGACGCTGTTGGGCCTCTCTTGGGGCGATCTTGGGCGGTCTTGGGGCCGTCTTGGGGCATATTGGGCCCCTCGTGGAACTCTCTTCTGCCATCTTGGGGCCACCTTGACGCAACAACAACGCATCGGAAGCGAAAATGGGAGAAGGCACAAATCATGGATTTTCTGAAGGTTGTTGAAGGATTTCGGATGTGTCTGAGGAATGTCCAAGAGCACTTGGAACTGTCTTGTCGCCATCTTTGGGCCTCTTGGAGGCATGGTGTCACGCAGCTATCTTGAGCCAAGTAGGGCTATCTTGAGCGATCTTGGTGGCCATCTTGGGCTCCCTAAGCCCTCTTGGAGCCATCTCAGGCTATCTTGGACGCCCTGACGCCTCGCGAACCCACCCGTCCAGGTCGGGAAGGGGGGACAGGGGGAGGGATCAACGGGCCGCCGTTGGCCGTCCTGGGGGCCTCTGGGAAGGCTGAACGGTCCGCGCGGTGTCAGAAGGCAAAGGCTATGTCGGTACGGCGATGCGGGAGCACCTGCAGCGCCAGGGCGAGCTGCATGCAGTTGGCACCAGGGCCTGACAGCAGCCCCAGATTTGGGGAGGTCTCGCGTCGGGGCCCACAGGGGGGGGGGTCTCGCGTCGGGGCCCACATGGGGGGGACAGACACGATTCATCGTGGATTCCCCAGAAAAGATGGGAGCATTGAAAATATGGGAAGTGGGGGGGAGACCAAACAGCCCCGAAAGTATGGGAAAATCAGGAGGCGGGTCTTTTTGTTGGTGGGGGGGTCTCCACGGGGCCCTGGGGCCTGCGTCACAAAGGCTGTTGCTCTGGGCCCCCCCCCGCTCCCGTGGGCACGCCTCGGCCGTCCCCCGTGGCCAGGCTGCCGCCGCCGGGGCCCGGGCTCCTTTGCAGGAGGGGGGGGAGCACACACAGACACAGTCACCTGAATCGTCCTCCTTCTCCTCCTCCTCCTCCTCCTCCTCGTCCTCCGCGTCCCCATCTGCGTTTTCCTCATCCTCGAGTGGTCTGTGTGCTGCACTGGGCTGGCCGTGCCTGGGTGACAGTTTGGGCAACAATGTGAGGCTCAAACTGTTGTTCGGTGACGAGCATACACGCGCGCGCGGCGGAGAAGTACAGTCGGCCCGGATTGGTAGGTCGACCCTGCCAGCTCAAGGGTACCCTTGTGTCCTGTGCCTCGCGACACGTGCCTTCTTACACTCCTGTGGCGTCCTCTCGCGTCTCCTCTCGCGTCTCCTCTCGCGTGTCCTTCGGAAGGGTCTTGTGTCCTCTCGCGTGTCCTCTGCAATCAAGGCCGACTGTATGGGCAGTGTGGGGGGGAAGACGAGTAACCAGAACGTGTGGACAAAGATTGGGAATCCTGGGGTGTGTGTCTGTTCGTTTGTCTGTCCCTGGGCCCCTTCCTGTTTCCTCCTCGCCGAGTCGTCGAACACGGGAACGCGCGCGAACGCATGTAGTTCGCTAGGAGGGGCGCACGGCAGCCCCAGAATCCAGGTGCGGCACCAACGGCTCGTGTGGGTGGGGGCCGGCGGGGCCCGCTGACTCGCTCGACCTGGCTGACATGATCATCCCAGCCCGCTTCTACATATTCTCGCCAGACTACCCGCACGTTGGCACGTCCACCGCCTCCCCACCCTTCTCAGCCCCGTCGCCGTGGTTCGCGTTCTCACGTCTTCTGGCAGTCTAGCTCCCAGGAGCCCTCGTCAGATCCTCCTGCTCCTTCCCCTCTTCCCACTTGTTATTGAATCGCTTCGCTCATTCCGCCGGCCCGCATTGTGCCATCGCAGGCGTTTGCTCGCGCGTTCGTGGCCTCCTGGGGCCGTTCGGGGCCTCTTGGGGCCTCTTTTGGGGCCTTTTGGGGGCCCTCCAGGGCTCTCTTGGGGGCCTCTTGGCGCCTCGTGGAGGCCTCTTGGGGCGGAAGGCTCGAATTGGTGGTTCGTGTTGCCTCTCTTGGGTCTTTGGGGCCCTCTTGGGCGATCGTGGGCGCCTCTGGGGCCGTTTTGGGGCCCTCTTGGACCGTCTTGGGGCCTTCTTGGGGGCCTCTCGGGCCGTTCTGGGGCTCTCTTGGAAAATCTCTTGGGCTGGCTTGGGGCGGTCCGGGGGGCCTCTCGGGCCGTCTTGGAGCGTCGGGACGCGGAAAAGGCGAGAACGCAAATATTCATCAAGAACCAATGGAACATCTATGTGCTTTTGCCTATTGGGGCACTTTTGGGAGGCCTCTTGGGGCGTCTTGGAGGCCTCGTGGGCCGTCTGGAAGCCATCTTGGTTGTCTCGGACGGATCGTTCGACGACTCGGAGCCCCCTTGGACCGTCTTGGGCGCCTCTTGGGGTCCACTTGGAGCGCTCTGGGGCACCTGAAAGCCGCACCCAGGAGGAACACCATTTCTGATCCGCACCGCCCGGGAACCACCCGGGGACCTGCTGGGGTATTTTTCGTCTGGGGACCCCCTGGGGCGGCCCCGCGCGCGCGAATTAGAAATACTATGAATCTGTTACCGCAGATCTTAGCACGCCTCTGGCCCGTTGGGCCGGCTCATCATCATCATCATCATCATCATCATCATCATCATCATCATCATCATCATCATCATCAGCAGCATCAGCAGCATCAGCAGCATCAGCATCAGCATCAGCATCAGCATCAGCATCAGCATCATCATCATCATCATCATCATCATCATCATCAGCATCAGCATCAGCATCAGCATCATCATCATCATCATCATCATCATCATCATTATCATCATTATCGTTATCGTCATCGTCATCGTCAGCAGCAGCAGCATCAGCATCAGCATCATCATCATCATCACAATCACAATCACAATCATATTCATAATCATGATCATGATTACATTCAGAATCATAATCATAATCATAGTCATAGTCATAATCATCATCATCGTTACCAGCATCATCATCATCATCAGCAGCATCATCATCACCTTCATCATCATCACCTTCATCATCATCATCATCATCTTAATCATCAGTGTCGTCATCAGCATCATCATCACCATCATCACCACCATCATCAGTATCATCATCAGCATCATCATCATCAGCAGCATCTTCATCATCCACACAATCGTCATCATCGGCATAATCATTATCAGTATCATCATCGTCACCGTCGTTGTCGTCGTCGTCATCATCGCCATCATCACTTCCACCTCACAATTACCTTTCCTCCTGTCTCTCCCTCTTTCCCCTCTCCACCCCGCCCCCCCGTCCTCTGCCTCCTCTCATATCATCCAGGCCTCTGATCGCCCTTCTGCGCCTCTTCGACGCCGCCTTCGTCGTTGCGATGGTCGTGATCGTCGCCATTGTCCCCTGCTTGTCGCGTCGTCGTCGTCGTCGTCGACGTCGTTCGTCGTCGTGGTCGTCACTGTCTTCGTCGTCGTTGCCGTCGTGGTCATCATGATCCGCGTCCTCGTCGCGCGACGGGGCCCGCCGGGCGGCCCGCGAGGTGTCGCCGCTGGGGCGGCCGCGCTCGTGCCTGCCGGCGCCGCTGGCGCTTGCGCGGCAGGCCGAGGTGCGCATCAGGCGCCCCCCGAGCGCGCGGCCCGTCGGCGCGCCGCCGCGGCCCGGCGGCGGTCCGTCGGCGGCGCGCCGCCGGGATCCCGCCTGGGGCTGCGAGGAGGAGGACGGGCTCGGCATCGCTCGGCCGTGCGCACTGTTCCTCGGCGGGGGCCATCGAGGAGCATCCCTTGGCATCGCTCGGACGTCTGCATGTTTCCTTCGGCGAGGACAATCGAGGGGCATCCTTGATCATTTGGCGAAAAACCACGCACGAAACCGACAAATGCACAGGGAAGGGACCCCGCAGTTCCCCGGCTTCTTTCTCGCCGAGCTGCAGGCACCTGAAGACGGGTTGAGGGGCGCTGCTTGTGCTTACACGGACTGGGCGATGTAGCGCACCAGCTTTCGAGGAGCATCTGGGGTCCTCGCGCGAACAGAGCACGCGCGAGCTCGAAGCATGGACGGCGAACGGGGCGTGCGAGCGACGGCGAGGCGGGGGGAAGAGGAAGCAGGCGGTGGCGGGGGTCTCAGACCCGGGGACCCTGACGGGATGTCAAAGGCGAGTTTGCGAGCGACGCGCCCGCGTCCGCCGCCGATCGGCTCCACTGGCCAGCCGCAGACAATAGGACTGTCTCATTCATAGGGCACTATTTGCGCATGATGAATGGGAAAGATCTCTCGATTACGTTACCGTCCATCCCATGTCTTATCTCGCATATGCGTTCTCATACCCGCGGTGTGCAGAAGACATGGAGCGTCGTCACACGCCTAAATCGTAGCATACGTTTCGGCTCCCTTTCGACGTGGCAGTGGAGCTGGCCTAATCGTCAAGTAGCTCGTTCTGACACGGATACCGGTATTCCACTGCACAGAACGGCGGACGATTTGCATGGTGGTATTTCCTGCTGTGCCAGTTTCGTTTCGGGGTTCAGAGCCAGGACGTTGGCCTATACGTGGCACCACAACGACCGACGGTCACGGTGGCATACACGTGTATGCCACCGTTGTAAGCCTTTACGTTCCGAACTGCCCCATCGCATCGAGTGCAAATTTACCGCGACGCGGCCAGGTGCAACACTACAGCATGAACCCCGCACCCATCAGGAGGCTGACGGCCATGCCAACCACCAACCCCCAACCACAAAAACCACGACACCACCGACACCAAGCTAAGTATGCACGACATCAAGGTTGTACCATTTTCGGTACCATATGGGTATGTTTTGGTCCAGCCGTACGCTGCATGCGACGCGCACCAGGGGCCCTCACTGGGACCCTGTTGGCAACGTATTATTCCGCGAATTCGTTCGCGAAGTTTATTCGTCGTTCAACCGCCACAGGTCGCTGTTGTGCAACGCGGTTACGTTGGCCTACAGTCGGCCTGGATCAGTAGGTCGACCGTGCCAACAGAAGGGTACCCTTGTGTCCTGTGCCTCGCGACACGTGCATTCTTACACTCCTATGGCGGTGTGGCCCTCGGAAGGGTCTCGTGTCCTCTCGCGCGTCTTGTCCATTCGAGGCCGACTGTAGCCAAGACGCTGGATGAGAGCGCTGTCCTTGACCACCAGTTACGGCGTATCCACACCGTGTCAGCGCGCCGATGCCGTCACATACCATGTCTGTCCTCTGCGCCACATTTGAACATCTCGAGGACGAGCGCCTCCTGACTTCAGGAACAAGCCTCCCTGACATTGGGGTCGATCGAGGCGAACGTACTGATTCGGCATTCGCCCGAGTCGAAATCGCCAGATTGGAAGCAGGTTCGGCTTTGGCTTCAACGCTCCAAACTTCCGGTTCTCTGCGCTCCTGTTGTTTCGGGCCCTGGGATTAGGCGCCTCCCGAGCCGCGCATCTGCTGCAATCCCTCAGCCACAAGAGCTCCGACATGAGCAACAATACGACCAAGTATCGGAGCGAATGCGCAGCGACGCACACTTAGCTGCGCGCGCTCCTGGGAAGGTCCGCGGGGTCCTCAGCGGTCGAGGCTGCGGCGCCTGTGCATTCCACGCAGGCGCGAGCGACGCGCCGGCTTCGGCGCCAGGCATCATCTTGGCCGACCAGGAACCGAACGAATCCACGGCGATTCTAGAACAGGAAAGTGGCAACGCACAAGCAGACGGCCGTAACAATGGCAGCTGGGGCCGAGGGCCAGCAGCTGCATCGTCATCATCTTGATCATTCTGCTGCTATCTCCAGGAAAACGTTTGGTATCACCCCTGGACCCCGAACTTTCTTCTCTCTCACAGGGTGCCTAGAGCTCCGACCATGTTAGTCCGCGTCGCACCGCGCTCCTTCCTGCCTCGCCCCCCCTCCCACCCCTCCCCAGCGTTCCCCATTGGCCCGGTGGAACCTCTGCCTATTGCCCCGTCCGCCCCGACCATTTTATTCAGCGTCGTGCCGATCCCTCCCCGCCTCCCCGCCCCCCCGCCACCCATGCTCAGTTTTCCCCTTGCCCGCCCCGCCCCCCTCCTACCCCTCCCCAGCGTTCCCCAGTGGCCCAGTGGAACTTTCGCCCAGTGCCCCCTCTTCCCCGACAACTTGATTCCGCGTTGCACCGCGGCCGCCCCCCTTCCCCCCCCCCCTACCCCGTCCCTCCCCCCCCCCCCTGCCCCCCCCCCCTCCGCCTCGACCCTTTTTATTCCGCGTCGCGCCTCGCCCCCCCCTCCCACCCCTCCCCGGCGTCCAGTGCCCCAGTGGAACCCCCGCCCAGTGCCTCTTCCGCTCCGACCATCTGATTCCGCGTCGCTCCGCGCCCGCCCCCCCCCCACCCCCCCGGCCCCCGCCCACCCCCCCAGCCTTGCCCTTGCCCGCCGCCTCGGCCCCGACAATTTTATTCCGCGTCGCACCGCGCCCCCCCTTCTCTCCCCAGCGTTCCCCAGAGGCCCAGTGGAACCTCCGCCCAGTACCCCACCCGCCCTGACAATTTAGACCACATCGCACCGCGCGCCCCCCTCCCGCCGCCCCGCACATTGTTTTACAGACGTGCCAGAGCTTCACGGATGAAGGGCGGTTCGTTTTCACGATATGGTTCTCGCTTCAGCGCCGCGCACATTCGTTGGAAACATTTGCAAGAGTTTCCCGGATTGAGGGCGGGTGGTTTTCAACATGTGGTTCTCGCTTTAGCTCCGTGCACATTCGTCGTTAATTCTTTAAGAGTGTCACGGATTGAGGGCGGTTCGTTTTCAAAGTGTGGTTCTCGCTTTAGCGCCGCGCAGTGTCAGCCACAGGAGTCATGTACAAGAAATTGTGTGTTGGAGCGGTTCATGGTTATCAGGGCGCACCAGATACGTTGATGCGCGGTGTTGAAGTACCAGGAATGGTGTTCTGGCGCGATTCAGGATCGCCAAGACCTATCAGGCAGGTAAACCTTGGCGTTGAAGTATTGAGAATGGTTTCTTGGCACGCTTGCAGATGCTCACACGGTTGTACCCCAACGGGGCACTTCTTTTAGTGAATTCCTCTGGACAGAATCAAGGCGGACGCACTGCCCCTACGGTCATTCGTTCGTTCATTCAACGCCTCGGGACAGTGGTGAGCGGAGGCAGAGGAAGGGTAGGGGGAGGCAGGGGCAGGGGCGCCGCTGCGCCTGCACGGCCTGCGAGCGCGTCGCTGCCCCCGCCTCGGCCACGGAAGGAACCCTCCTGCCGGCCGTGTCCGTGGCCGCGCTGGTCACGGGCCGATCGGCCCGGGCACCCGTCAGCAGCGTCCGCACAGCCAAGACACTGCAGGAAAGACCGCCTCAGGCCCAGGAGGGCTCTGGTTGGCGGGCCGTTGCTTGGATGTTCGTTTGGGGGACCTACTCGTGGCCCAGGTTCGCCGTGGCCAGAAAATCCCCTTCGTTCCTCGTTCACCGTTCCCGATGGTGGCACTATGCTGCTCCAACCTGCTTTAGCCTTGATCGCCAGAAAGAATGTCGAGCACCAGGAACATACCGAAACTCGAGGGTTCTCACGTGTCAGGACCTGGGAGGCGAGACTCGCTCGACACCGTGTCGATACCTTTCGGGGCGCTCGAACTCGTGCCTGGGATGTGAGCCTTAAACACGATGGGAGCAACATGATGGCAGCCAGATGCTCGTAGCCTTAAATCGGTCCTGTCCCTCTACAGGGGGGGATATTCAAACATAGTAAAACATCTGGACGCCAGAAATGGGTACGGAAAGAATGGGTACAATGCCCAACAGCAGTTCCTGTTCATTTTGAACAGGACTCGCTGTCCGCGCCGTCGCGGCCTGGGTCCATTCGAAACAGAAGGCCCCCCGCCCAACAAGGGCCGCTGTTGGTTTGGGACAACATTTGTTGTTGGGCATGGTACCCATTCTTTCCGTACCCATTTCGGGCGTCCAAAAAATGGATTGGGGACGATTTTTGCTTTCACTATTTTTGTTCATTTGGAGGGTATTGCTTGAATCTTTTTTATTTTTCGTCCCAAATCCGCTTGCAGGGGAGCACGCCCGACTTAACCGTAGCCGCGCTGGCTCAGGCCGCGCGGCCCGGGCGGCGCAGGCGTGGTCCCCGCCGCCCCGGGGCCGGCGGGCTGCACCGCGGGAGGACGGCCCCGGGGAGGCCGCGAGGAGGCCCGCGGAGGCCTCCGTGGTTGCAGCCGCGGTGTGGGCAGGGTGGCGCCTGCGGGCGCTGCGCCTGGAGGCGCCGGGGGGAGGAGGAGGAGGGGGAGGAGGAGGGGGAGGAGGAGGAGGAGGAGGAGAAGGACGAGGATGAGGAGGAGGAGGAGGGGGAGGGGGAGGAGGGAGGAGGAGGCGGAGGAGGAGGAGGTGGAGGAGGAGGAGGAGGACGAGGGGAGGAGCACCGAGCTGGGAGAAGGGCCGAAAAGCCTGCCATACCCATCCAGCCTGGCGCCGGGGGGGCGGGGGTGGGTGGGGTCGCCGTGGACACAGAGGCGAAAGCGGAGGTTCTCAACCGGCGTTTTTGGGTTGCCAGGTGTGTTAGCGGAGCGGCTCGGGGTGGAAAGGTGGTCCTGGGAATCTGGGCCTCATCGATGGGGTCGGAGTAGATGGGGTCGGAGGATCGCGCCGCATCGACAATGCATCGGCGATGCGACTCGATGTGGAGCCCGATCTTCTCCATTTCAACGGCACCGATACGTTGCCGATGCATCGGCGATGTGGCGCGATTTTCCGACCCCATCTGCTCGGACCCCATCTAGGAGGCCTCTAGGGAATGGCCCGGGGCCGATGACCCGTTTGCCTCAGGACCCTCTTCTTTAATGACAGAGAGGCGCCGCCGACACTAGCGTTGCGACGCTTGGAAGTCATCGGTCCCTCTTGAGAGATCCCCGCCCGCACCTTCCAAGGAGGCCGCGCCACCCCCCCTCCCGCTGCCTCACCCCCTTTTTGTTGCGGCCTCGGCGCACCGCCACGAGGGGGCGCCGAAAGGGGTAAACATGCTGGCCGATTGTGGAGGGGGGGGGCATCGCCCCCTCATCGTCCGTTCATCGCCGATCGGGGCCCGGGTGCCCCAGCCTGCCCGGGAACGTGCGGTTGTCCCATGGGGGGCCGATCGCGAGTGCGTCGGCGATCCGACGGACGAGGAGGCTCGACATGGAGGGGAGGCAGCTTCCCGAGAATTTCCTGGGGCTGGCCGGCCAGAGCGTCCTGAAGCTTTGGTGCCATACCACAGTTTCGGAGCGTCCGCAAGAGGGGTGGTCACGCTCAGCTCAATGGCAAGGGTGGGAGGCAAGGGACAAGATGTCAGATACGGCGCGAGCGTGCCAATCTCTTGGCATCGCTCGGACGTGTGCATTTTTCCTTCGGCGAGGACCATCGAGGAGCATCCTTGACCATTTGGCGAAACAACCACGCACGAAACCGAAAACAAAACACAGGGAATGGACGTCCGAGCGATGGCGAGATCTCGCCTCCTCCTCCCCCCTCCCTCCCCCCCCCTCGTCCTCCGCCAGCCGCCAGGCCTGGGCAGCGCTGGCCTCCCCGGGAGGCATGCGGCGCGGTGGCGGCAGCCGGCCCTTCGTGGCCCGCACCGACTTCGACAAGAGGGTCATCCTGTCGGGCTTCGAGCGGCGGGGGTGGCAGCGCGCCGGAGAGGAGGACGAGCCGCAGGACCGCGGCCTCGGCGGGCTGCACAGGCGGAGAAGCGGAGAAGCGGAGAGCACGAGGAGGAGGAGGAGGAGGAGGAGGAGGAGGAGGAGGAAGAGGAGGAGGCAGAGGAGGAGGAGGAGGAGGAGGAGGAGGAGGAGGAGGAGGAGGAGGAGGAGGAGGAGGTAGGGGGGGAGGAGGTGCAGAGGGATGGAGGGGTGTGCCGAGACGGAGAGGGGGAGGCGGGAGAATGGTACGCAGACGAGGAGGAGGAGGAGGAGGAGGAGGAGGAGGTGGTGATGGGGAACATTGTGCGGGGGGTAGGAGGAGGGGGAGGGAGTGAGCATCAGCAAGATGAGAAGGGGATGGATGAAGTGGAGGAGGAGGAGGAGGAGGAGGAGGAATAATCATAATAAGAGGACTTGGAGGAGAGTGAAGAGGAGATGGAGGATTTGAATCTGAAGGATGCGGAATGGAGAACACAATAAGGATGAGGAGCAGGAGGATGAGAAGGAGGACCAGGGGGGAGCAGGAGAAGGAGGGAAGAGTATGAGAAGACGGAGGGGGGGTAGCCGCAGGACTGGGACCTCTACTGGGCCTCGGTGGGCACGGTCCGGCAGATCTTCAACCCAGAAACCGGCGTGCGCCTGGCGGAGCACCAGTTGATAAACCATTTCCCGAACCACTACGAGCTCACGCGCAAGGACCCCCATGTAACAACTGGCAATATCTGCATCCTCCAACCCTGACATCCTGGCGTCGCGGGGGGCTCACAACGCCTGTTTTTGGCGGGCTTGAGGCTCAGGGGCCCTCCTGTATCGATTCGTGGTGAGCGAATTCGCGTCCAGATCGGACCGAAAGCTCCACTTGGCAGACATTCAGGTCGTATGGCATTTCTCACTACACTGGGTGTGGGGATCATTCTCTTTACGTGACACGAGCACGAGCCCCGATCATAAGATCGCAGCGTCAGGACGTGGCCCGCCGCAGGCGCCTGGTTATTTTGTCAAAGCTACGTGGGTGGGTCGAGGGTGGGTCGCACGGTCGTTTGCGGGATGGGTCGCGGGATGGTCTCGCTGTGGGTCGCGGGTGGATGGCGGCGGGTCGCGCGCGAGGACGCCGACAGCAACAACGCAACAACGCAACTCACCATCGCAACAACAATCCGCACCGCGGAACCCTGCTTCAGCCTCGCCCCAAGGGTCAGTGAATGACCATTCGGCCTCCTTACTCTGACCTTGAAGCACTCCTCACTCGGTTGCTTCGCCTAGCACGTAAGATTTCAAGCGCAAAAGCAAACATAAGACTTCAAGCGCGCCGCAGGTGTGAACATGTGCAGAGTAGGATGATTATCCTCGTCGTCGTCCTCCTCCTCTTATCTGTGCCCAGGGGCTTCCCGGCTCGCGTGTTCTTCGGCCGCGCCCAGAAGGAGGCGGGGTGCCAGGTGGAGTGACCTCAGTGTTTATGTTCGTTGCTGGGTGGTATAGTAATCGCTGAGACTTCATTCACATGTGCCTTGGATGTGCTCCATGATCTTTCCCTCCGCCTCCTCGGAACTCATGCGCAAGGACTTGTTGGCGAGGAACATCCGGCGGTACCGCAAGGAGCGGGAGAAGTTCCAGCAGCCCGATGAGGCAGGATGAGGGATGAAGGCGGTGAGATGGGACGGGGGAGGATGAGGATGATGTGTCCCGAGATCCGACCTGGGCAGCACCGTGCACTACAGCAACACACGAGGAAGAGGACGAGGAGGGGGGATGATGGACAGCAGCAGAGGATCTTTGGGAATTGTGTGGGGTCCGGAATGATAAAGCGGGGTCCCGCCCCCTTGTCTTGGCATCGCTCGGACGTGTGCGTTTTTCCCTCGGCGAGGACCATCGAGGAGCATCCTCGATCATCGGGCGAAAAAAACCACGCACGAAACCGAAACATGCACAGGGAATGGACGTCCGAGCGATGGCCAGTTGTCTTCTCCCAAGGAGGGGGGGAACAGCGCCCCCAGCGCAGAGAACTTCATGATGCTGCGCCCGCCCCCCCTCCCCCCGGACCTCTCTCGGAGGGGGGCAGGGAGAGGGCGCCGAGGCGAGAGCGCCCCCTTCAGAACTCAGGAGGGGAAGAAAAAAACACACAGACACAATGAATCGCCGATTCCCAGGAAAATATGGGAACATATGGGAAGTGGGGGCGAAGACAACACCCAAGAACATATGGGAAACTATGGGGAATCTGGTTATTTGTGTGTATTTATTAGTGTGTCCCAGGGTCCCTTCAAGAACGGCCGAGCACGCCCCGACTGGAAAAGCGCAGAGGATAGGCCAAGTTAGCGAATCCCGATGAAGAACATACGCGGACGGGCAGTACATCTTAGGCCCAGATTTGGGGGTGAGAGGAGAAGTGTTTTCATGATGGGTAATTCATGGCAGAGGGGTGGGAGTGGGGAGGGAGGGGGGGAGACAAGCTTGGTGCGCTCGCGTCATATCTGACGTCCTACCCCTCCTTCCCATCCCTTACCATGGCGTAGATATACTCTCTATTCGCACAGTCGGGTGTCGAGCAGGGCAATGATCGCGAGAGGGTACGCGATGCATGGTAGAGCACGGCATGGCATGGCGTAGAAGAAGCGTAGCATGTGCAGTGAAGCATTGCATCACAAAGCATTGCAACGCAAAGCATGGCATCGCACAGCGGCGCAGAGCACAACACCGCACAGCATGTCAGGGCATGATGCTGTGTTCCTTGGAGGGTATGTGGATCGTCTTCGTGACTCCATGTCTAGCTCCTTGGGCTCCCCGAAAAGCTCTGCACAAGGCGGGCCTGATGGAGAGCACCCGCTGGCCCTGCTTCCAACATCGCCTTCTGAATGCAGAATTGGGGCTCCCGCTTGATACTTTCTGAGAATGACGACGCCCCAAAATGGGGGGTGGCTTCTGCGGCTCCAAAAATCAGCGAATCGACACCGAATGTGGAATCTCTTCCGATGATTGTTCGGGGGGCATTTTTTTCAGTTTGGGGGATTATCTGGAAGGACCGAAAACGCCCGCGCTACGGCGGGAGCACGATTTGGAACAACCGGAGTCGCAGAAATGAGGCCATCGCTTCAGCGGGAATAACATTATGAAACAATAACCCAAGCGAAAACCCATCTCCCGGAAATCCTGTGCAAAAAAATACGCGGGGGCCAGACATTTTCCAGGCGTCGTCAGGGGAGAGAGGAGAGTAGTATTCATGTTGTGCAAGTGTTGAGGGGAGGGAGGGAGGAAGACCACCGACCCCCTCCCCACAGGACAGGACTGGCTTTGAGTTTCAGTTGGTTATTCGATGGCCCCGGGGCCCGGGCACGGGGCCAGCATTGCGAATCTCAGTGTTTCGTGCCTTGACACCCGTTCGAAAGTGTGCCTCCGTTCAGCGCCCAGAAGAACCTCGCTCGGAAGCTGCGTCCTTCGCGGGCGGTTCGAGCCCTCTGTCCGTTTCGCAGCAGCTCTTGTGGTTCTTCGCCCCGAGAGGCGCGAGGGCCGCCGGCAGCTCCGGAGCCCCAGATATGCTCAGTTCTTCGCCCGAGCGAGGTCTTGAAACCCTTGATCCTACGTCGACCCCTGCTCCTCGCCCCCTGCTCCTCGCCTCCTCCTCCTCCTCCTCCTCCTCCTCCTCCTCCTCCTCCTCCTCCTCCTCCTCCTCCTCCTCCTCCTCCTCCTCCCCCCTGCTCCTCGCCCATCGACCCCTGGATCCTACATATGCTCAGTGGTCGCCTGCTCCTCGACCCCCCTTCCCGCGGCGGGGCACCGGCGGGCGCCAGCGGCGCGCCCTCCGAGCAGGGCGCAGCAGCAGCAGCGGGAGGAGCAGCGGCAGCCGCCCCGGCGAGGCCTCGGGCGCTGCGGGGGCGCACGCGGGGCCGCCCGGGGGCGGCTCCGGCGCCGGCAGGGCCGGTGCCGGCGGCGCGCTGGAGGAGGGCGGCATTTCCCAACCATCCTGTGGTGTTGGGTCCTCGTTTTGAAGAGACGGTCCCCGCGTTCCTCCTCCTCCTCCTCTCCTCCTCTCCTCCTCCTCCTCCCCCTCCTCCTCCCTCCTCCCCCTCTTCCCTGCGTTTCACCCACCCAGCACAGCGTTTCATGGCCCCATAAGGAGCTCCACCGAAGAAGATATTCATCATTGCGGTACTCATCCTCCTCCCCCTCCTCCTCCCTCCTCCCCCTCTTCCCTGCGTTTCACCCACCCAGCACAGCGTTTCGTGGCCTCATAGGGAGCTCCACCGAAGAAGATATTCATCATTGTGGTACTCACAACTGCATCTGGTTGGGTCCTTCGCCAGGTTAATTTCCTGCTGTTCCCAGCCGTTCTGAGTCCGCAGCGCCGCGCGATTCCTCTTCCGCCCCCTCCTCTCCGTGCCTCCTGCTCTCCGCCCGCGCGCGCATTCCACTCTCGGGGGAGAGGATCCATCGTCGCCAGGGCTGGATGCGCCTCGGAGTCCTGGCCAGGACGCGTCCAGGAGAGGCCGGGCGGGGGGGGGGCGATTGTGAAGACGGGGGGCTTGGGCCTCTCGCGTCTGTTCAGCGATGTTGGTGCCCGGGAGGGTGTCTGTGGGCCCTGCAGCCAGGCCCGCGGCCGGGAGCTGGTCCCAGGGATGGCGTCGAGGGCTCTGAGGGCCGATGTCCTGAGCCGATCTCGGCATCGGCGACGCACAGTCCAACCGGATACTACGGATGAGCAACTCTCCAAGGTTACCTTTGCATCCTTCCCTTTCGGCCCATCCTGGGTCGCTTTCGCTGGCCGCGCCCCGCTCGCATAGTGTCGACATGGCCTTCCAAGGTCCTTGCATCCTGATCGTGCGCCGCTGTCTTATACGGGTGTACACTATCCTCACACGCTTCGGGCCCCAACAGGGAACTCCGCCTTCGGTCCCAGCGGGCGCGCGCGCATGCCGCCATACTATCATGTTGGCACACCACGCACACGTGTCGTCCCCCACAGGGAGCTCCACATACGGCCCCAGTGGGCGCGGGCGCAGGAACATCGACCCATTTTGGCACATCCCTCTCACGCTTCGTGCCCCCAGAGGGAGCTAGCTCTATCTGAGGCCCCACTGGGCGCGCGCGCATGCCGCACCCCACCCATTTCGTCACATCGTCCGCACGGATTGTGCTCTACAGGAGCCAGAGTTCCCCACGTTTTGCTGCACGTATTCTATGATGAGGGGGCCGCGCGTTGCGCGACGCGCAGTTGCATAGAGTCGGGCCCCTGGGTCGGCGAATTGCCTTGCCAGGATCTGCTCTGCATGATTGCTGTGTGTCTGCCCCCAGCCCCAGGCGGGACCACTGTGCTGTGGGCTGGGGCCTTGGTGGATAGTGCCCCCTGGCCATGCCAGGCGGCCATATCCAGCAATACCCGGTTCCGAGAGGGGCTTGTGGGGGCCATGTGATGGTGGGTCTTTTCGTTCGTTTTTTGCATATCCATTCCTCCTCGGCCGCGGCGTGCTTGAGGACGACTACCTGCCTCCAGACTGGGTGCCGACGACCTTCGCTCTGCCGACCGACTACGCCATCTTCGTGGAGGAGTTCCGGCGCAACCCCAACCACGTTTGGATCGCGAAGCCGACGGGCAAGGCGCAGGGCCGCGGGATATTTTTGGTGTCGAAGCTGCAGCAGTTGAGGAAATGGTCGGGTGGCTCCCAGAAGGCCCCCTCTCTGATCTCTCCCTCCTTCAATCCCTCTCAGTGGCTGAGTTTTGCCTCGTTCATTGCTCGCTACCAATAGCGTTCAACCGCCCAACTTCCTATTCACCATGTGGCAGCCAGTTTGGTGTGATGGATCGGCAGCGACGGCCCCCCAAAGTGGAGATTGATGCCCACGCAGGCAGCGCAATCTTCTGGGGAGCAGATCCCCGTTTTCCGCGAGCCCTACATCGTCTCACGCTACATCAACGACCCTTTACTCGTCGGCGGCAAGAAGTTCGATATGCGATTATACGTCCTCGTGACGTCGTTCCGGCCGCTGAAGGTCTACCTCTACCGTGCCGGTTTCTGTCGGTTCTGCACCGAGCAGTACACTTCTGACGTTGCGGAGTTCGATAACGTCTTCGTGCATCTCACTAACGTTGCGATCCAGAAGACGGGCGAAGACTATAACGATAGCCATGGGGGAAAATGGAGCTCCGCCGTGTGCAAATTTATCCGACGGTGTGTGAGGGGATGGGTGGCAGCCTTCGGAGAGAGTTCCCGCTCCGTTCATAAAAATCCCCACTGCCTGGGAATGTTGGCACCCTGACCCTGGCATATTTTGTTTCCTGCCGCAAAGGAGCGTTGATGACTTGATGCTGTACGTCGAGGGAGCCCAGGGCAGCAAGTGGATAGTTAGTCAAGGGAGGGTCGTGCTCTGCTTGACTCGCTCATCGTTTACGTATCCTTATCATTATTCACTTTCCATCATGTGTTGTGCTAGCCGCTCGCACTAACCAGCGATAGCAACCCTTTTTGCGAGCACGTGCAATAGTCAATAGTCCATTGTCGATAGCCCCCGCAAGCGCAGGGAGCGCAGCCTGCAGAGCGACGTCTGATTCCAGGGCTCCACATGGGCATGAGGTACTAGTGCCACACCCAGCAGCACTGTAAGCAGCCCAGCAGGTTACAGAGGGACAACAATAGGATCCAGACTTTCCATGCCAACTCCAAACTCTCGCCTTAATCCGCTCCAATGGTGCCAGGGTCGGATAATGCCTTCGCCTGTGCCCATGGGCTCTGCAAGCTGGGCATCGACGGGACTGAGTCTGTGTGTGGTATATGAAGAGCAGCGCCCTCTGCCGCTGGTCCCCCCTCTGATTGCTTGCGTGGCTATGCTGTGATGCTGTTGGCTTGTCGGTTGGTTTGCTGGCCTTTCGGCTGATCGGCCAGTTGGATGAGTGGAGGCTGCGGGGGCGCGAGTCCTTTGGTAATGTACGAACGAGTTCTTCGTCGGAGGTTGGGCGATGAGATCGCAGTGGATCGGATAGCCCCCCACCGGGAAAGCGGTTTCGGTTTCGTGTTCGTATCGTACGTGCGGGCGAGACGAAGCTGCGTAGGCGCGCGAGAGGAATGATGCCGCCATGACTAGGGGCTGTGGAGCCGGTTGTCCGCCCCTCCCCCACCAGGCTCGCGGTGGCCAGGGGTGTCCTGTCGGTGTTCCGTCGATGTCTCGTCGGTGTCCCGTCGGTGTTCCGTGTCCCGGAGCAGGGCGGCGCGACTCAGTGTCCCAGAGCAGGGTGGGCAAATGCGGTCTAAGCATCTACACCTCAGCTGCTTCTGCTACTCCTGCCCGTTCGTGTTGGAAAGGTGGAGCTGCACCCCCTCGCTGTGAGCCTACCTGTTACTCTCCTGCTTGCTTCTTCTTCCCATGTCCTTTTCCTTTTCCTGTTCGTATTTTTCTTCTCTCCAGTATGTTCATCCTTTCCTCCCGGTTCCTCATCTTTTTCTCTCCCTCAGGGGAGTTTGATCACCATATTTGCGATTTCGGCAAACTGAGGAACACGCGGGCGGGCGGCGCGCGATAAGCTCGTGAGCGACATGGAGGCTATCATCGTCCACTCGCTCAAGGCAGCACAGGTGATCATGATCAACGACAAGCACTGCTTCGAGATGTACGGCTTCGACATCCTCGTCGACAGCTCCCTGAAGCCGTGGCTGCTGGAGGTCAACGCCTCGCCGTCGCTCTCCACGACCACAGCAGAGGACCGCATTCTGAAGCTGCGCCTGATTCTCGACGTTCTCAACCTAGTAGTGCCTCCAGGACTCTAGCAGTGACGAAGTGCCCACTCCTGCCTACAGGCCCACCCAAAAAATATGGAATCAACTTGTGGTGGTTTGCATTAACTGCCATGCCTGGCTGATGTAGTCTTGAAATACGGCATCGGTGTCATGTTTGAAGGGCACCGTTTTGGGAACAGTTCGTGGTAGGCCTATAGGGATACCAGGACGGCCGGTCCCTGCTCAAAGGACGCCCTCCTGGGAGCGCCGTGGACGACACTCAGGAGGTCCTGGGCAACTTCGACCTGATCTACCAGGAGCGTGCCAGGGGCGTCGCCTCGGCGTCACGCCGCTCCGCCAGCGCCGGCTGGCGGTGACGCCTAGCGCACGGCCTGGGTTTCTCTGATCGACAGGCTGGTTGACGAGATCGACTGCTTGCGGTAAGCCTTGACCACACTGGCTTGCTTGAGGCCACGTAGGCGGTCATGATGAACGACAGGCGCCGCTTCGATCACGTGCGTTCGTTGGGCGGGGCAAGGAGGAGTAATAGCAGCTGCTCGCATGGACGGGCCACACAATCGCCAAGACCTCGGATCTGGCAGGGTCTGGGCCAGGCCGCTCGATATGACGCAGCGCAATTTACCTCACACGACGAGTCGGTCTCCAACTGCCAGGCGATGAAGCAGACGAAGAAGATAATCGATGGTCTGTGACATGTGCGCCTGGGATTTCACGACAGGTTTGCGCTACACGCAACGGAGACTATCGCACCATTCATTTTCAACGTAGTAGGGTGCCTTACGTGCTACCAGGAGCATTTCGGTGTCTCACGCCGTGCGCTATTTGCACAAAGAGCGTTCACGATATGGCCAGACGCACCATTAACTGGACATGTTACAGTTTCTGCAAATGGCGTCCAAGCAAGAGGGAGGATGTGAGCCTTACATGTGGCACAGGCTGTCAGACTGCGGCAGCTTGACACTCGGCGTATTGCGACCCCACGCCACGGCGTGCTGTTCCGCAAATGAGCTTGGCAATGATGTATACGTCGAGAAGGATGGTAGCGACTATTAGGTGGTCAGACGAGTATGTCAGGTGTCAGGGCTTTGCAGCAGCTAGCTAGGTGCGCGCCACGCCGCCGCATGCTGGCTGAGTCATGCTGGTCGACTGACCTTTAGCAAACTCTTGAAACTAAACAAACCATCCTGCTTGCCTGTTCCGTGGTGGATTATGTAGGCAGACGTGAGACGGATCCAGACATCGTTATGTGCATTCCATTTCAATGTGTGCCGTTTCGTATACTTCCGGTTCTGAGGCCCGCGCCCACAGTCTTGACAAAGCATGCACAGCCAGATAGTTGTCGGATCTTGGTTTTTCTTGTTTGCAGTGCAGAGTTCGCCAAGCAGGTTGATCCGGAGGGGTCTACCTGGAATCTGGTCTCTTAGGTTGGAGCCCCGAGCCCCCACCCTCGCCTCACGCCTTGGACGGGGCTAGGATGAGGATAACTCCGTTTCAGCGCGTTCCGAAAGGCTCCGAGAAGGCCGCGGCGCCCGGGACGTCCTCCAGAGCCGCAGGACATCAGAGATCCTGGGCTCATCCTCGTGCGACTTCGTTCTCGTCGCGGCCTCGTCCTGCGCCTCCCCCCTCGCCCTGCCCTCCGTGCCCCGCCCTCCCGCGGCCCCTCGCTCCTTCGCCCGCCAGGGCGCCCGGCGGCTCGACGAAGCAGTTCTGGAGAGGGGGGGGGGCTGCGGGGCCTCGGGCGTGCAGCAGGCAGCTCGGGGTGGCCTTACCAGCCTGGAACATATCCCTATCCCTATGCTTGACATCACCTCACCTCGATGCCGATCTTAAGGATTCCCTCAGTTTTTGAGGGCCTATCCCTAAGATTGTCCTCGCTTTTTGCTCGCCCATCTTGGGGATAGGGATACGTTCGAGGCTGGTTATGGCCGATTCGCTCTCCCACTCCTGGCCAACTTGAGTCGAGCATGTCTCAGGAGGGAGAGAAACACACACAGACACAACCAGTCGTCGATTCCCCAGAACGCATGGGAAAATATGGGAAGTGGGGGGGAAGACAAACACCCAGAACATGTGGGGAAAGATGGGGAATCCTGTCATTTGTGTGTATTTATTTCGTGTGTCCCAGGGCCCCTTCAATGTCCCTCTACAAAAGGAATATACGAGAATTGTAAAAGTGGCCTGGTGACGATTGTTCGCGCTCTCTTGACTATGTTGGACTATGTGTTTTATTATGTGTCGGCTATTTTTCATGGGTCTTCCAACATCTGCCTGAAAGAGGACATGCCCGACCTAAAGCCATACCCCCCCGTTCGTCCGCCCCAGCAGGGGATTGAGACGGAGAAGAGGAAAGGGCAACCACCAGCACGAACATAAATTATTCTTGACGCTTCGCGTATCCCCACCAGCCTCTTTCTGGCACTCAGCGTGGATGGAGAGCCGCTCTTTGTTATGTCACTTAGTTGCTTCCTGGTACACGCCCTGTCACCTTCGGTTGGCCGTCGTGTCCTTCGCCAAGGTCGGGAACAGGTGTGTTCCTGCACTGCGTCACATCATGTCATTGATCTTTCGCGTGCAGACGCATTCCTCCGCAGTTGTTCTGAGGTTGACTCCGATTGTCAATGACTTCAGGCGTACCCTTTCTGCCGCGTGGATGCGTTCTCTGAAGGTGCGACGGTTCGCTGGCGTTGTCAGAGACCCTTCTCCATGCTGGACGACGTCAGCTCTTTTGCCTACGGTCTCGCTCATACCCGACAGACACCCTGGGCTCTCTGACACCCCTCATGCACTGAGACTGATCCCCAATACCTCGTGATCGTCGGACCGACACGATCCTCGGCTGGGGATGTGCGTCGCGCCATTTTGGCAGCGTCCTCCCTGCTTCCTGGGTGGCTGTTTCCCTTCAGACTCCCTGGGCAGCAGCTTGCACCGCCGCCTGATCCGCGGCCCCCGCGCGCGCCCGGCTAATTTGTCACGGCCGCAGCCCGACCGTGTCCCGCCGCCGCCGGCGCTTCCGCCTGCGGCTGTAAAAAACAATACCCCCACCAACTCCAGCCAATTATCGCCATTTGGTGTACACCCCCGGCTGCTGCTGCTGCCGATGGCACCCCCCTTGTGAGCGCCGCGCGGCCCGCCCCGGCTTGTAGCACCTCCCGCTGTCCTCCGTTGTCTCCCTCCTGCTTTCTCTGATGCGAATTTCGGCTTCTGCCGGTTAGCGGTAGCTCTGGACGGCGCGCGGCCTCTCCGTTTGCACTCGCGATCCAAAAAAATCCCCACCAGCCCATCCAGGAACGATTACCAGGTGAGTTGGTTGATCAGGGACGCTTGGAACTACGCGGTCGCACAGCCGTTTTGGAAGCGTCCAAATTGGGTGGGCCTTGGGGCCAGAAAACAAGGGCCACAAATAGCTTCGCGCAGTGAAGTTTAGGCAGGAAATCAACGCACATTGCGCTATGGCGCTCCCTGTGGGAAGCGTGCCTGGCTCAGGGTGCTGTATCTACGATCCGACGCAGTGTTGCGCAGAGTAGAGTGGAGTTGTATTTCGACGGGCATCATTGATCTTAGCTCTTGCACTGATTTGTATCTGAAGCTCGCGTGCGCTTTGGAATTCCTCATGTGCTGGTGCTGCCGCCGGTGCTGCTGCTGCTGATGCTGCTTCAGATGCTCGTGCTGTTGATGCTGTTGCTGCTGTTGCTGGTGCTGGTGCTGCTGTTGGCGCTGCTGTTTGTGGTGTTCCTGCTGGTGGTGGTGGTGGTGCTGCTGGGGCCCTCTTGGGGTCCTTTGGGGGCCTTCGTGGAGCCCTCTTGGGGCTCTTTTGGAGGATCTTGGCCCGTGGGGCCGTCTTGGGCCCCATTGTTCAAAAAGAGAGGGGTACTAACCCCCCACACACACACTTCGGAGGCTCAAGCATGTAGTCTTGGGGCCCTCGTGGGCCATTTCTGGGGCGCTCTTGTGCGCTTGTGGGGCCGCCTTGGGGTCCTCTCGGCTCTCATGGGGCTCTCTTGGGCCGTTTTGGGGCCATCTTGGGGCCTCAAGAGCCCAACGGAGGCGAAACAGCGAGAAAACAACACAGCATTGACTTCCCTTTTGGTTTTTATAGGATTTGGGTCTCTTGGGGGTCGTTGGAGGGCTCGGAGGGCACTTGGAACCCTCTTGGGACCGTTTTGAGGCCTCTTGTTGGACGTGAGTGACAGGTGCCGGATGCAGATGCGCCTCGGGGTCGCTTGTTTCTCAGGGGCGCTCTACTCCGAGGATTCCACAGTCCTCTGTCTGCTTCGGCGGCGAGCGGCATCGCAGCGCTCGGTCGCGGCAAGGTGCTCGGGGGGAGATCCGTCTTGCATGGCCCTGCTTGCTCTGGCGCTCGACCCGCGCATGAGATGGATGACCTGCCGCTTGCATCGCATGGCCCTGGGGCGCGCGGGCGATCTCAAGTTTGGGCTGCGCAGCGTGGTTATAGGGCTCCCCCCAGGCCCCCCTTGATCGGGCGTTGCTAGAGGTGCCCCCGGGCCGAGGCGCCCCCAGGGGCGCCGGGCATGACCTCGCGCCCAACGTTCAGATCAGCGCCTCTGCGTTGAAGCGGCGTGCAGGGGTTCCTCCTGGACGCGCGTGATGCTAGAATCACGCGCGAGGTGCCCGCTTCGCGTTTTCCCGGGGCGCTTCAGTTCGGGCCCCAGGCAAGAACGCACCTTTGATGGGGCGCCCAGTCATCTCGTCCGCGGTCTTCCAAACATCGCGGAGCCTCGAGAATGTCAGCGGCGCGCTTGGTGGGGGGGGGGAGTAGGGCAACTTCAGGCGCGATCATGGAGACCGACAGGTGCCTTGCGGCAGGCCCACGCACCCGCCGACGCCATTTCTGCGTCGGCCGCGGGCGCGGGACTAAATTGTAGGATCGCGTTTAGCGAGCGTTCCTTCGCGCGTGAGGGCATGGGCGGGTGTGTCCGCGGAGGAGTTCTGCACGGCGTGATGAGGCATATCTGAGTGAGGGGGCCGAACGGTCTTACAGCGCTCCTGGGAGCGTGGCTGAAGTGTGGATTCACGGCGAGGTTTCTGCATGATGTTTTCTTTGTTGTCGTCGTCCTGGCGGCGTGGTCGCGGCGCGGGTGGGTCGCGGCACGGGCGGGTCACGGCGCGGGTGGATCTCGGGCGGTTCGCGGCGCCGATGGGTCGCGAGTGCGTCGCGGATGGGTTGCAGGTGGGTCGCGGCGTGGGCGAGTCGTTCGGCCCCCTCAGTGACCGCCCTGGAGGCTTTCTCGGAGCTGTCTCGGGGCCCTCATTGGAGCCGTCCGAGGGCCCCAAGAAGGGCCCAAGGAGGCCCCGAGACGGCTCCGAGAGCACCCCAAGGGAGCTTCAAGAGGGCCCCAAGAAAGCCCCAAGAGCGGTCGCGCAAGAGAGGCTTCGCGCGACCGCTCTCGGGGCCCTCTCGGGGCGGCCCCGGGGCCCTCTTGGAGCCGCCCGAGGGCCCCGAGGACTTGGGGGGGGCCAAGGGGGCCCCGAAAGAGCTCCGGGGCCCCAAGACGGTCCCCAGAGGATCCCCAGAGAGGTCACGCGAAGTCTTTCTTGTGTGACCGATTTGGTGGCCTTCTCCGGGGCCTTTTCAAGCCCTTCTGGGGGGCTCTCGGGGCCCTCTCGGAGCCTTCCCGGACCCTGGTCAGGGTCCTCGAAGGGGCAAACGGGTCTCGAGACAGCTCCGAGAGGCCCCCAAAAGGGCCCCCAGAGGCCCCCAAGAGTGCCCCAAGACTGGTCGGACGCATCCCAAACTTTCAAAACCTATTGAAAAGGCTCAGGAAATCTCCAAATGCAGAGGCCCTTACTCATTAGGACAAATAATTCCTTCAAAGGGTGATTTTCAAAGAAGGCAAGGGGCCGCTCCGGGCCCCTGGGGGGGGGGCAGTTCGGAGGGGCTCGGAGGATCCCAGAGGAGCGCGCCGGGCAGCGGCGCCCTCGGCGGCCGCGGCGTGTTCGGGTCGTGACGCAATCCCAGGCACAGTCCACGATGTCTCTATTCCCCGCCCCCCCTACTTTGACCAGGCTTAGTTTGGCGAGGACGTGCTGTGGCGAAATGTTCGTTTCAAGATTTGCGCAGACTTGCCGTCGTCAAAGTAAGTCTCCCTTCCCGAGGGCGCTCTTCGAAGTCTCGTCAAAGTTTTGCGAGGATGCCTCGGACAAGTCGCTCGCGTCAAATCTCGTCAAATCTCGATCAATGTCGTCATGTCCCGTGTCAATCTCGTCAAAGTAGGATGTGCCAATTCGCGTCATCGTCGAAGTCGCCTCGTCAAACTATTCGGGAGAGGGCAGCGATGACACGAGGGGGGGTGCGTTGCAGCCCGAGCGCGGCGCAGTCGCCGAGGGCAGGTTTCCCGGAGCCTTCAACAATCTGGGGACACGGAGAGGAGGTCGGCCAGTAATCGCACTCTGGGGCCGTTCGGCCCCTCTGCAGGTTTTCGGGGGGCGGGCGAGCGAGCTCCCAGAAGGCGCCGCAGACCCCGCTACCATGGTTTCTGCCTGGTGGCGGGTCGCGGAGGCCATGAGTCGGGCGGCGCGCGAGCGTCGGCGCGACGCCGCGGAGGGTCGAGCTGCGAGGAGGCCAGACCACGATGATCAGGCCGTGGTCGAGGGGCGCCTGGGGCCCATTCGCGGCGCCCACATTCGCTGCGACGGTGCTGGCGGCAGTCTTTGAATTCTCGTCGCTTCACGCATCCCCGCCGCCCCGTTCAGAGAAGATGCCCGGGCGAACCGCCGCAACCAGGGGCGCGTGGCAGCGCACGGTGAGACCAAAAAAAAAGGGGGAAACCGCTGCCCTTGGAAAAGGGGGCGTGGACGGGGGGGATTCAGGGGTAGCTCCAGCTTCGCTGTCGCCAGGGGCCCCGGGGGAGGCCCTGGAGGGCCGCGCAAAGGGCCCAATATTGTTTCGGGGGCTCTTGGGGCCCTCTTGGGGATCCCTGGAGGCCCCCCCTAGGCCGCGCGATAGGTTTGGGGCTCAGGATCCAACGATCTCATGCGATTGCTGGTTCCGATGACCCCAACGATATCACGCGACCTGGGGGGGGCCCGAGGAACGCCCGGAAATCTCAAAGGGGGGGCCGCGAGGTCCCAGAGAGGGCCCGAAGAGAGTTCCTAGGTGGCATTGGCAAGCATAGCTCCAAAATCCGTCCAGCGGAGTTTGGCGCGATGCGTCATGCTCCCCTCTTGGGGCCCCCTTGGGCCGCTCTTGGGGCCCTCTCGAGCCCTCTGTGGCTTCTCTTGGCGCCCTCCCGGGCTTGTCTTGGAGCCCCCCCTGGGGCCTTCCAGGAGCTTCGGGGCGTCCCCGAGAGGGCCCCCCAGCGAAGACAGGATCCCTGAAAGGTTCTACGCCCAGAGGGCTGGGTGTTGGAGAGACGGAAGGGCATTTGCAAGGCATCGCAGGTCCAGCTGTAGGGACTTGCAACGAATTGCAGGGTCTCTCGCAGGCATCGCAAGGTCTTCTCAAGGTTGTTGGCGAGGTTTTTGGCAGAGGTCTCTGCATGGTCTTTACATGTGTTTGCAGGATTTCAGCAGGGTTATTTGCAAGGTCTTTGCGCGGGGGCCATTGTAGGGGCCGTCGCGTGGGTTGGCGGACCGGGATGGGGGGCGCCGCGACCTTCCCGCGGGAGGCTGATTCTAGCAACGGAATGTTCGAATATTCAGTCTTTGCCCAATCCCGGTTCTTGGCTTGATTTGTTCCCCGGGGGCCCCCGATCCTGGGGGCGGCTTCTCCTGGGGGCCTTCTAGCACGTCCCGACCTCATGTTGAAAAACTCGACGATGGCAGCGGGCAGTCTGAACCTTGAAGCATGCTTAGAAATCTTCCCGCGGACCATTATGCGCATTATGGGGGTCGCGGGCATCGCTTGGTCCTGGGGCGGCGTCGATGAAACGGGTTCGGCATGCGCAGTACTTCGCGATCAGGATTGGACTTTCGCTTCTGCCCCGGCTTTGGGCTGGGTCGGGCCAGGACACTGGGGGCCGACGGCAAGGCGGGGGGCACCGCGCGCGCGCAGCGCCTCCTGGGAGAGAGCGCGGGGACCCTGGCAACCGTGCGCATTGGCAACCGTGCGCGGCAAACGCGCGTTTGCAACCAATGGCAATGAGCGCATCGGCAACCGTGCGCGGATCGAGCGCATTGGCAACCGTGCGCGGCAAACGCGCGATTCCATTGCCCCGCCCACCCACACCTCTGGTCAAAAAACAACGTTAGCAGGGCCCGCGACCGCACGGGGGTTGCAGGCGCGGTCGCGCCGCGCCTGCGAGCGGCGCACGGAAGGACGACCTTCGCGTCGTGCAGGCCAGCGCCTGCTTTGCAGGGTGCGCCGGGGGGTGGGGGGCCTGGCCTCTCCCCTTTGGGTGGGGCGGCCTGGCCTCCCCCCCTTGGCGCGGTCCTGGCTCGGCTCTTCCCTCGCGGCACCTCCCCGAGTTTTTGCCGCAACCTGCAATGCCTCGATAAGACGGGGGGGGGGGCCCGCCTCGCCGTCGGGACTGCCCGAAGTTCGCCTAGGACACTGCTCGAAATAGATGCCACTAGCGCCGCAGAGAGACTCCTAGAACTAAGGCTGGCTTTGCCATGGCAGCCCGTGCGCATGAGATTACCGAAGCGCCCGTCTTGCGCCTCGATGCGCAGTTTTAGATGCGGTGACGCGCGAAAGTTGCGGTGACGCGCGAAGAGGGCACGCAGCAGAATTCGATTGCTCGGCCCCGCTTCTTTTTCAATCACACAGTGTGCACTCGCCTTCGGGTCCTCGGGCACAGCTCATAATTGCCTGGCCCGGCCAGCATCGGCACTGCGTGTCAGGTTCGTTTTGCAGGCGCCTCTCCAGCAACTGTTTGCGAAAACGCACGGACGCAAGGCGACCTCCAATCAAATTTCATGACGCCTCTGTACTGGCAGATTACCTGCGGCGCTCTCTTCTTTTTGTTGTTGTTTGTTGTTGTTTTTTGCTGCTCTCTCTCTCTCTCCCTGATTGCCGTGGCGCTCGTTCTCACTGCGACCCAGTGATGCTCGCTGGGATCCACAAACAAGATGCTCGATCAAACGTTCGTGGGATCTGCGACGGTCGACGCCCTGGCCTTTCGGATGATTCCTGCGCGCCGCAGGCTTCCGAGTCGCTCCCGCCCCACCCCTGATTATCGTTTTGCTCTCGCGGCCAAACTCTCCTGAGTTTCTGCGGCTGCCTGTCGATTTCTTCATCTACAGTCTCCCCGAAGGCTGCCGTTGCAGCTGTTGCGTTGAAGCGCTTGTTTCGTCGCCAGTCGGGTTGCGCCGATCATTAAGTCGCGGCGGAACCTGACGCCCGAGGTGTCGAGGTCGTGCGCCGCCTCTTTTCTCCTTGTCCTGTGCCTGCGCGCCGCAGGTTGCCGATGAAGTTCTGGGTCCGCCGCTCGGCCCTTTCTCTCTTCGACCTTGGGGCCGTCGGGGGTGATCGTGTCTGGTCGCGCGCGTAGCCTCTGATCAGACCCCCCCTCCCTCATTTCAAAGCTGGGGCTCGCACGCTGGTTTTCGAGGTCTTGCGCTGCATACCAGCGTCATCCCTCGCACCACTTGCAGCGTCATCACCATCCTCAACAGCACCATCCTCATCATCATCAGCAGCATCATGATTTCCATCTGCGTCCCCGTACTCCCGCCCCCTCCTCATCCATCCTCATCATCATCGTCATCATCCTCATCATTGCCATCACCATTACCACCACCATCGTCCATCATCCCCCCCCGGCCCCTCCTCCCGCCCCCTCTTTCGTCCTGGGGGGGCACCGCCACGGGCGGGCAGGAGCTCCGGGCTGCTGGCAGGCCTCGACCGCTGCCTGCGGCGCCGGCCGAGCCCGCGGTGCGAGTGGCGCGCGCTCTCGGGGCAGTGCCTCGGCCTGAGCCTCTACGAGCCGGCGGGGCGCCGTGGCCGGGGAGGGGTCGCAGTGAAGAAGGCCCGGGCCTCCAAGGCACGGAAGAGGTCAGTGCGGAGGTTTGTCGCCGTTTTCGGTTGGGTGGGGCCCTCGTCAGACCCCCGCAGCGTCAAAGATTACTCGGGATGAACACGAGGCCAAGGGCCGGGACTTCCAGGGACCCCGCACTGAAACGTGCAAGGCGTCGAAGGTTTGCGAAAGGGGTCCAGCAGGAGACGGGTTCCGGGTTTGTGTTGTGAGTTCCTGGCTCTGGTGTTTTTCCAGGCCCCAGGCCCGCCAGACAGAAAACGTAATTGATGAGAAGTTGGTCCCGGGAAAAAGTCCAGGGTTCCAGGACCCGTTTCCCTCCAGATTTGTTTCCTCCATGCCAGAGAGGGGTATCAGAGGGAGGCGGCGCACCCTCCAGGTGTTCCCTGTTGGTGAGAGGATCGCCGCGCTTCGCGAGTCGCGGCTGGGGTCGCTGAACTGGTTTTCTCCTGAGGGCAGCGCGAGAGCGCGAAGATGTCCGTGCGCCGCGCACTGCGAGGCACAAGGCGCGAGGTTCTGTGAGGACCCACCACCACCTTCAGCGAAGAGGTCCACGCTGCCTCCCCGAGTTGCAGATCTGAGACACCGCAAGCGGGACACCGCGAGGCACGCGATTGGCACCAACAAGAGGACTTGCCTTGGCTTCTCGCGATGGTGGTGGTGGTGGTGGTGTCGATTGTTCTTGGTCCTAGGGCCATTTTCGCCGTCCTGGAGGCGTCTGAGGACCATCGTGGAGGCCTTTGGAGCCATCTCCGCACGCTTTAGTCCCGTGGGCCGGCAAATTGGAGCCCCAGTAGGCAAATCCTATTACCGGAGAGCATTTCCGCACGTCTCTTGTCCGTTGGGCCAGCGAATTCAAAGTTCGTTTATTTTCCTCTGATTTTCGTGATCTTTTGTTGATGCTCCTCGACCCTCGATTTGTTTGATGTTTCATCGATTCTCGTCGACGTTCGATGTTCGTTGACGTTCGATTTCCATTTACTTTTTCAGAGATATTCGCTGGGCATGTGCGAGGAACGTCAATGTGTTGCGAGCCGATTAGAGGGAACACAATCAAGAAGAAACGCCCCAGGGGGTGGGGGGGGGAAACGTTGAGGGGAAAAAATAAAGCTGTCCCCCCGGCATCCGTGCCAGGCAGTCTATCGAGCAGTCTTCCATTTCCAGGCATATGGCGATCGTCCTTGCGCCGAAGCCTGTCGTGCGCACCTCGTCCCCTGCTACTGCAACAACCTCTTCCAGTCAGGTTTATGAGCAGCGTCTTGCTGCCCGCATGTGGCGAGAAGCCTGACAGTTTTGCACCGACGGACCGAGGTATGGGATCGAGGTCGGTTCGGGGAGGGTGCCATTCTGTAATATGTGCTTGTTGGATGTTTTTGTGCATCCTGGGGAGGGTACCCTGGGACATGTTCTTGAAGGATGTGATTCTGGCCCAGGTCCGACTGTGCAGGGTGGGGTGGCCCGTCGTTGTGCCCTGGCGGGGTGGCGCCCCCCCGTCTGGGCCCAGTGAAGAGGTCCTGATGACCACCGCGCTACATCCTTGCTTTCTCGCGGAAGCTGTCCCATCGAGAGTTGTTCCATCCATCCATCCATCCTCCTAACTCCCCCCCCCCATCCGCCTTCTCCCTGCTGGCTTTCGAACTCCCTCCTCCCTCCACCCTGCCGACTTCGTCCCTACTCCGTATTCAGGGCCCCTCCCCCCCCTGACATCCCCCCTCCAAAGTCGACCTTCGAAACTCGAGGTCCCCCTCCCCCCCTCCTTCCCCTCTCCCTCTTCGCGGAGGGCAGGGGCGCACCGCGGCGGATTGCGCTTCCGCTTGCTGCAGCTCGGGCGACGCTTGCGAGGCGCCCGCCTCGGCTGGCGCGGCGGGGCCAAAGCCCCGCCGCCGTCGTCGTGGTCGTCGTCGCGTTGTTCTCCGTCGCCGTAGTTCTCATTGTCGGGGTCGTCGGCGTCGGCGTCGGCGTCATCGTCGGGGTCGTCGTTGTCGAGGTGGTTTCCGTCGTCGTCGTGGTCGTGATCGTCGGGGTCATCGTCGTCGTCGCGATGTTTTACGTCGTCGTCGTGGTTGTCATCGTCGAGGTCGTCCTCGACGTGGTCGTGGTCGTCGTCGTCGTTGTCGTCGTCGTCGTTGTCGTCGTTGTCATGGTCGCCGTCGTCGCCGTCGTTGCGGTCAGCATCATGGTCGTCACCGTCGTCGTCGTCGCTGTCGTCATCTGCTTGAACAGCCCCAGTGCCCCCGGAGCCTGGTCGGAGCAGGGGCCGCCGAGGTCGTAGAAGGCGTTGTCGTGGGCGTCAGTGGGTACTGCAGCAGAAGTTGTCGCCGCCTGCGTGGTCCAACCTGGACGCGCCGCAGCAGGCTTCGGGTGCAGACGGCCGCGGCGCCGAGAATGCAGATGGCCCCATCAGGCCCAGCAGCGCCCACCGGATGAGCAATGGCCCTCCGAATGCATTCAGGAGGGAAAAACACACACAGGCACAATTAATCCTCGATTCCCCAGAAAATATAGGAAACTATGGGAAGTGGGGGGGAAGACAGAAGCCCGGAAAATATGGGAAAATATAGTGAATATGTTTATTGGTGTGTATGTATTTGTATGTCTTGGGGCCCCTTCATGCATGTTCCTCTTTGCCGTCTCAGGTTCGGTGGAGCGGGCGCGATGTTGGCGAGTGAGGTGGCTGGCGTGTCGCCCTGTTGCTTGTTGCGCAGCTCCTACTTGCCCCGTTGAGACTGTTGCCTTGCTGCTGACCAGTAGCACCACAGGCAGCACCGACCCAGACCGACCAGCAACTCCCACCAGCGCCCACCACCAACCGCGACCGACCAGCATTGCCACAAGCAACGCCGACCCATACCGACCAGCGGCCCACCACCAACTGCAACCGACCAGCACGCCACTGTCCACAGCGACCCAGACCGACCAGCAATTCCCGCCAGCGCCCATTACCAACCGCGACCAGCAGCGCGACGGATTACAGCGCCATGACCCCGAGCACCTCGACGGATTGCAGCCTTCCCATGTGCGCCCCAACGAGAGCCGCGTGGGAGCGCCCGACTCGCCCCGCCTTGCCGCGGCGACCCCAGGAGGCCCCCCCTGCGACGCGGACGGGTTCTCTGAAAGCCTTCCATGCGACGTGGAGCAACCTATCAGGGCGCCGCGCTGTCTTCACGGAGGGCGCGGCCCCAACCCCCCCAGCTCGGTGGACGCCATCCGCGCGACTCGGAACCTCTTCCCCCGAGGGTCCCGCTGTTTGCAGGGAGGGCGCAGACCCGCACCACCAGACATGTGCCAGTTCGGTGCGACTCCGCTGGCAGGGAGGAGGCCGGGAGGGAGGGAGTGAGAGGACGCCCCAGGTAGGACCCCCGCATGCCGAACGCCAAGGCGCCAGTTCGGCGCGACCCTGTAGCCAGGGAGGGAGGGGAAGGGGGGAACAGGAAGAGCCCCCCCCAGGCTGACGGACGCCCTCCGCGCGCCGCGGGGCCCCCGCTCCCCCAAGGGCCCGTCGGCCGCAGGGGGGGCGCATATCCATGCGAGATGTGCACCAAATCGGTGCGGCCCTGCTGGCAGGGGCGAAGGAGGGAGGGGAGGGTTCGGAGGACCGAGGGGAGGGTTCGGAGGACCCCCCCAGGTTGAAGGGTGCCTTCCGTGCTCCGCGGCGCCCCTCCCCCGAGGCCCCCGCAGGCTGCAGGTAAGGCGCAGACTGACGTCGGAAATGTGCCGTTTCGGCGCGGCCCCGCGGCCGCGGATGGGGGGCAGAACCCAGCTGCGCAATCGTGAAAGCCCCGACGGATCTGCCACGGCGACACCCCAAGCACCTCGACGGATCCCAGCCGTCTCTCAGAACGCCGGGGACGTCGCGAGGCCCCTTGCCAGTGCGCGCTTCAACGCGAGCCGTCTGAGAGCGCCCGAATTGGCCCCTCCTTGCCGCGGCGGCCCCAGTGTGCCCCCCCAGCGACGCGGAGCACTTTGCACTGGGCGCGCCAGTGTCAGCCGGGAGGGGCCAGCCCCATCTCTCCGCGCCTGCGCCGGGTAGGTGCGACCCCAGACCCGAGGCGGAACTGAGAGGAAGCGAGGGCGCCGGACAGGGAGTCGCCGCGAGGAACGGCGCCCCCAGGCACGGGGCTTGCGCAGGCGATGTGGCCCAGCCAGCGCGCGCGCGCGAGGTGCCCGCGTGCCCCAACGCCGACGCCGACTTCGACGCCGACGCCGACGCCGACGGCGGCGCCGACGGCGGCGACGCCCTCGCCGACGCCGACGCCGACGCCTACGCCAGTACCGGGCCCCGACGACGACGCCGTCGCCGAACCCGTCGCTGGTCGTCATTCACGTCCTTCGGCGCCGCGGCGCGAACGAGCAAACCAGACGGCCCTGGTCCCAGACGACGACGCCGACGCCTACCCGACGCCTACCCCGACGCCGATGCCGATGCCGACGCAGACGCCGACGCCGACGACGCCGACGACGACGACGACGACGACGACGACGCCGTTGCCGGCCCCGTCGACGACGCCCACGCCGTCGCCGACGCGCGTCCGGGATTTCCGTCGTCGCCGCGGCTGGGAAGCGGAACCCAGCAGTGCAATCGGGCGCAGCGGAATCCACCAACGCAATCCAGTCGGGGCGGTGCGTGGCGACCTTCCTTGCAGTCCGCCAGGGCCGCGGCGGCAGCCGGCCAATGGGTCACCTCCGTCAAACATCAACACGGGAACTTGTTTGCCCGTCCTGGAGACTTCTCGCTGTGCCCTAGCGACGACGGGCGCTGGCGGTTCCAGCGCAGAGGGCTGGCTTGGCGCCAGTCTGCAAGGGGAGGCACTTCCGCCTGCACGGCGTGAGATCCTGCTACTTGTCAAGGGCACCTGGGCCGCTTCGTTGGGCCCTCCTGCGATTCGTTCATCTCGGACCACAGGAAGCAGGGCAAGGGGCGGGCGCGTCCCTAGGAAGTCCCAGCGCGCGTCCTGCCCGACTTCCTCAACTCCGAGGAAACCCTGACGGCCTAGGCCAGGGGGGCACAGCGAGCAGGCGGCGAACCCAGTGCGGCCTGGAGCAGGCATTGCGCTCAGCGCGGCGGCGGCGCCCGCGACCCTGGCCAGCGCGACGCCATTTTCCTCCGCTGCCTCCTGCGCCAGTGCCGCCCTGCGCCTTCCCTCGCCGAGTAGGCGTCCCAATCCGGCCACCCCCTTCCCCTGCGGGCCTCGCCGGCCTCGCAAGGGCGTCCTGGCACTTTTCCACTCGTCTGCACCAGTTCGGTCCCTCGCTACCGCGTTGCTCTCGGCGCTGGTAGGATCGGCCACTGGCTCGGCCGGCCCTCCCCTGGTCGTCCGAGCCCTTGCAGGCTTCGCTGCCCCCCTAGCATTTCCCCGCCGCGCGCGGCGGCGCCACTGCGCTGCCGCCGCCAACGCCCCCACTCGCTCGCGGGCTGTGGTAGCCCCGGGGCATGTTTTCCGCCCCCGCTCGGCACCGGATGCGCCCTGCCCCCCCGCTCCCCGCTGGGCCGGGCGGGGCGCTGTGCCGGCGTTTTGCTGCCGCCCTGCCGCCCCGCCCCTGGGCCTCACAGGTGAACGTTTTCCTCCACGTTCGCTTCCCCCCCCGTTCGTCCTCCCTCCCTCGCGCGCCGCCCTGGCGTTGCTCGGCTACTCGCAGCCGCTGCCCCAGGCTGCCCGCAGCCGCCGCCGATGCTGGCCCCCCAGGATTGGTCTTGCCGCCGCCGCTGGCGCCCCAGCTTCGGCTGGTGCCACGCCCGTCCCGTCCTGGGGAAGGGTCGGCCTTGGTACTGCTCGGTTTGCACCCTTACACCAGGGGAGTTCCCTCCCGCGCACTGCGCCCCGTCGCCGCCGGCCCTTCGGCGCAGCAGCCGCCGCGGGCTCGCCGTCGGGGCTGGCCGCTCTACGCGGTCGGGACGCGACCCGTCCTCCTGAACGGTTCGCTCCCTCCGCCCTCTTTTTCGACCGCGGCGTCCGCTTCTTCCCCCTCCTGCGTGGTGGTACGCAATTCGCTCTAACGGCCCCCCCGTTTAGGCCTTTCCGCTAGCGCAGACGACCCCTGCCTCGCCGCCGACGGAAAAAAGGAAAAAATTGTATAGTCGTATTTGCGCAGAGCGTTGGATCCTGCGGCCATTTTTTGGCCGCTCAATTTGGCATGGCCCCAGGTCTCGGCTGCTTTCCTCGGCTTCCGGTGGGCGGCCCAGCGAGGTCTCGGCATCTAACTGACAGGGGTCGGCTCAAGCGGTGTTTGGGCGATTTCGTGGGCCGTTTTCGTTTCGATTTTGCTGTGTAGCCAAAGGTGGGTTGAAGACACAACGATGGACAACGAAAACAAAACGAACACGAAAATCACTGCACATATCGATCCCTGCTACCCGAAGTCGGTGCTGTTGGTGCCCGCCTTGGCTTGGGCGCAACTATCCTGACCCGTGCTTGGTGGCAGTTGTGGCAGTCCCGGGCCGTTTCGGAGACATCGCGGAGGCAATCGCGATGTTCCCTCAGTTTCCAGGGACGCCCAGAAGACGACGACGAGACAATTCGTCATGGATTTGCGAAGATTCTGCGGGTGCGGGGTTGCCCGCTGAGGTGAATGGGATCGCATGGATTGCGTCGCGTATGGCAATCGCACGCGCAATGTTATGCAAACGTGCCGGATGGGTGGATCTGACTACGAGGGAGTCTGGCCTTGAGTGCGTCTGAGATTGACTGAGTGTGGGCACGAGTGGTTCTGAGTGTGAGTAAGGCTGACTGTGAGTCAGTATGAGTACGAGCGATTCTGAATGTCAGCGAGTCTGAGTGTGAGCGAGGCTCAGCAGGAGCGGGTCTGAACAAGTGAATATGAGTACGTGAGTCTGATTTGGATGCGTCTGAGTGAACGAATGTGAGTATGAGCGAGTCTGGGTACGGATGACCGAATATGAGAGGATGGGGGCGAATAGTGCAGGAAACGGAGTCCACATTAATAACAATACCCCCTTACTCAGGGCATGTGGTAACATCATAATGAGGATGGGGAAACCAGGGACTTTGACCATGGTGATGGGACGAGGATGAGGATGAGAAAAACCATGTGGCGAGGCCCCAGGACGCCACAAAAGGCTTCAGTAACCCAGGAAACGACACGCAAGTCCCAAGAGGCACCTGGACGACCCAGAGGCTCCAGGCAGCCGCATGAGGACTCAGAGGCCCCAGGCAGCCACAAAATGGGGGGTCACCAGCCGCGCGCTCGCCTGTCCGCCGCGTTTTTTATACACAGAGGGGATCCCTGCGCGTTTCTCGCCGCCCGCCCTCGCCCGGGGAGAGAAAACGGGCGGCGCCCTCGGACTTGCGACTCCGCACCCGCGCACCCGGGGGCCAGCGACGGCGGCGACGACGGCGGCCACGGCGACGGAGACTTCGAGGACCATGCGGACGATCTCGTCTCGAGGGAGCTGGGACATTTTCGGAGGCTCTCGTCGCCACGGCTGGACGCGGTTTGATTTGTTGGTCGGGATGACGCGGGCTGTATTTCTACATGGCCCTTCCGCGGCGCGCGCTCGACGCGGTCACACGGCCCTCCCGCGCTGTCGTGATGGTCCGACTCGCGCATGGTCTACGAGGGTCTTTCCACGCGTGTTTGTTTCGTTGTTTTTCCAGGCTTCTATTGCGCTATGGCCGTTCCGGCGCGTAGTTCTAGACGCTCCCCCGCGCTTGGTTTGTGGTATGTTTTTCCCACGTTCGTATTACACGAGGATTCTGCCAGGTCTGTTCCAAACGATTGTCCTAAATGCTCGTTCCATACTATGGGCGTTGAACGATGGTCGTCCCACGTTTGCTGTACACTCTCCCTCGCCATGCTTATACGATCGTCCTCCCAGGCATATCGAAGACGGCTACGGCGAATCACCGCCTTTCCCTGCCTTGTAGGATACGCCTATGTGGCCGGCCGCCATTGTTCCCAGTAGAAGAGGCTATCACATTCTCCCCTGGGACTTACATATTAAAAACACTGAGCTTCACGCTTGGCTTCGGAGGTCTGTCCATGAGCTCGCATTTAGTTTGAACTTCCCCGTGGATGCTTCAGCTTCCTTTCACTCCGAAGCTGCCCTAGTCGCAGCCTCCGAAAAACTGACACCTCCAAGTCCTATTGAGGGTGAAGACTGCGTAGCACCTGCGCCGTCACCTGGGGTGCCGCCACCTGGGCTGTCGCCTTCGTTCGGTATGGGATCGTTCTCACGCTTCTCAGCCTGCTGTCATTTGCCCAGAGCTTCAACTTGGCTCGCTGTTGGCCTGCCAGCGTGTTGACCATGCCATTGAACTGCGAAGCAAGAGCCGTGCGGAACCGAGTCTCAAATTCATCATTGCGCCTCTCGAAGTCCGCCTTGCCGGTCTCCTCCAGCTAACGTCCCCGAACAGGCCACCAAAAGACAAGTTGAGCTCCGCCTTCGTTTCCAAGAACCCACGGACGTCCAGCTTACCAATTTCAGGTGATAGATTTCCATTTGGGCGCCAGTTCCTTTGCGACCGTCTCCTGCTGCACGACTGCCCTCGCCAAGTCATCCGCACTTGAGAGATATGTGTCAATGGTTGCCTCCAGCTCCATGCCAAGTCGTGCCAGTACCTGATTGCCGTTCCAGGGCATTTTGTGTTTACTCGACTATATTTGTAGCCTGCGTAAGGCGAATTGAGGCCGGCCTTGGTACAGCTGATGGTTTGGGTGGGGCCAAGGTTGTTGCCAACGCCTTCTGCTAAGCTCCAGGATATCCTGTGGCCGCGAGCGCCGACATGAGTTCCAATCCCCCACCTTGCACACCCACACTGCCGTATCCATTCGATGTCTCACCGTACCATGTCCATTCTGCGTTGGGCCCATCATAGTTTTGCTTTCACGTGAGGGCACACCCACAACACCAACATGTCAAATCGCAATGCTCCAGCAGGTCCCTGTAGCAGGTTCTCCCGCAAGACATACACCAGATAGCAAGATGACCTGGCTCAGGCTGCACTGGTGGGGGGAACGAGCTGTGGCTGAACTCGAGCGGGTGGGCGAACGGCTGGCCGCGTATGGACATCCCGCGTGCCGACGCCCGAGGACGGCCACTGACCATCACCATAGTGCAATTGCGTCGATTGATGCCACGGCGCAGCACTTCGCCACTATGGCCACATCGCGCCGACGAGCTGTCGTCTACCGTTCCCCATGGGTAGTGCCTCCCAAGAGGCGGGGACCACCAATCCACTGGGAGGCGACCTAGGGTGAGAAGGTGCCTGAACAATATGAAAAGCTTGCCGCGGACTAGCGGTAGCCCTGTCATTCCCGAAGAAACAATCAATTTGAGCCAAAATGGCTACGGGCACAAGAAAGGTCGAGGGGAGAATGAGGATGATCAGAAGATGGATAATATTTATTTATGTATATAAATATGGAGAAGGACGATGAGAAGGGAGCGTATGAAGAGAATTAGGAAGATGCGGAGGAGGAGGAAGAGAAGGAGTCAGGGGCGAGTTCCCAAGAGGCCCAGAAGGAATCACCAGGCCCCATGCGGCCCCTGGACGACTCAGACGCTCAAGGAATCCTCAGTAGGCCGCATGGTGCAGAGGGAGTGTTCAGGACGACCCAGATGCTTCAGAATACCCCAGGAAGCTCCAGGACGCCCCTGCTGGGCTGACCCGAAAGTACCTCTTCATGATCAGCTCCACGGGAGGAGGGGATGCGGGAGGAGGACATGTTGTCCATGATTCATGTACTGTATGTGTATATACATATATATATTCACATATGCACATGTGTAAAGAGATCGCCTCATCAGGTGTTCCAGTTCAACATCGAGGAGGGCTGCTGGCTGGGCGCCGTGGGGTCCAAGCGGATCCTCTGCCATCCATCCATTAAGCGGCTTCCTGTTGCTTTTGTTTGTGCCGTCGGCTCTCTTCGTCATCGTTCTCCTCCTGCGAAAGAGCGTTTTTCACGGGCGCATGGCGGGGGGAGGAGATGGGTATGGGCCCCGGAAAACCCGCCCGTCTGCTGTAACCAATGCCCCGCCCGACCCGCTCGTTAAGGTCCACCCACCCAAGGCGAACGTTGGGGCCTGCCCGCCCGACCCGCCGATCAGAGTCTGACCGTCGTCGTCGCCGTCGTCGTCGTTGCTGTCGGTCGTGGCAGTTGTCGTACAGTCGGCCCGGATTAGTAGGTCGACCCTGCCAGCTCAAGGGTACCCTTGTGTCCTGTGCTTCGCGACACGTGCCTTCTTACACTCCTATGGCGATGTGGCCCTCAGAAGGGTCTTGTGCCCTCTCGCGTGTCCTGTCCAATCAAGGCCGATTGTAGTACGTCGTTGTAGTCGGTCGTCTTCGTCGTTAGTCGTCGTCGGTTGTCGTCGTTGGTTTGTTGTCGTCGGTCGTCGTCGTCGTCGTCGTCGTTTGGGGAATCTGCGTAAGCGTCCGTCGTTGTGGTTTGCCAGCGCAAGGGGGCGTGGGAGGTTTGGACCCCTCCTTCCAACAAAGGGGGGAGTGGTCCCTCATGTTCGACACCTCACGTCTCTCCCAGGGGAGGCGGGGGAATCCTCGCGGTTTCGCAGGGGGGAGCCTGTCATTCATTTTCGATTGGGGTGGTTAGGGGGGAAGGCCCCCCCAGTTTCTGAGGGCGCCCTTTCTTTTTAGGCAAGGGTGCATCTTCCTTACTAGTCGTGAACTACTGTAACCTAGTGATTCCTTTAGCCAGGTGGTGGCAGAGCATTGGGCAGGCCATTCTTCGGCGACCAGGGCGAGTCAAGATCCTCGACTGGCATTCGCATTTGGATCCAGATGAAGATAGGGCCCTGGCCAGACGGGCTGTGGATACTACGATTGGTAACGACATCTCAGATACGTTTACGCAGAATGAGACACCATGTGCCTGGTGATCCAGCCATTAGTGCATGCCCTGCAAGAGTTGGGCATCCTGACTTCACGACTTATGAGGCGGACTGCATCTGTGGAGCAGCAGTTCTGCTCGCTAGACCGTGAACGCCTTACTTTGCCACCGAGGTCATCTCGCCCACGAAAGTAAACTATGGTGGACGAAATAATTTTGACGTCTGGTCATGTAATGGCGTAGCGTGGTAAGATCTGGAGTTTTGGCTTGTGCACGGAATCCCCAGGAAAGTGTTCCCTGAAGGAGTGGTCAGTTACAAATCCGCCCTGGGACATTGGTTCCGCAAGTCCAGGATGATAGGGCAGCGCGTGATGCCCCAAACCACACCAAGTGCCAATAGGCACCCGGCAAGTACATACATCACATCTCACCAGTGCCATGCATGGCCTCGTATGGTGTTGGCGATGCGCTTTTGTTGGCGTGCACATTCCTGACACGGTGCGGATGGTTAAGTTAGCAGGCGAGTGTTTCCGCCACCCCACCTACAGCGGACCACAACGGGTTGAACAAGTTGCGCCAAGGTTTATGCCTCAAAGTTGGACAGGCAGGGCTTGATGGCACACGTGGCGACTATGTTCGCCGACCGTTGCCCCCGAAACGTACGAAGAGGCCCATGCAACGATTGTTTTCTCGGTGCTTGTTGCGTTTTGCGTCTGTGCCGTTGCACAGCATCTTGGGCTACACAGCGCGTGCTCTGCTCTGCTTCGCTGGCCTTCGCAACGCGGTTTTCCGGGATTGGGAGAACAGTCCGCAGTCATCCTCCGTCCGTTCTCCATCCCCCACTGCTTCCCTCCTACCCCGTGGGCAGGCTCCCGGCTGGGCTGCCCGGAGCAGGGGGCCGCCGAGCCGGGCCGCTGGGAGGGCGCCGTGAAGTCGGGGGCGTAGCGACCTGGAAACAAGGAGTGACAGCCAGAGTGCGAAGACGTTGGCGGTGTCGGCCGCGGCGGCGGCGGCGACGCCCTCCCCTATCCTGCCTACTCCTCCTCGTCGCATCCTTCGTGTCGTCCTCCTCTTCCTTGACCACGTCCTCGTCCATCTCGTCGTCCTGATCGTCGCTTCCTCCTTGGGACTTTTGGCTCTGACCGTGTGTACTGTCCCTTCCTCTTCCTCCTCCTTCACTTCACCCGCCTCTTGAAGGATTATGGCGAAGGAGGAGGAGGAGAACGGGGGAGAGGGACGTGTGGCGCGAGGAGGAGGCAGAAGGACCTTGAGCAATAGACGGTGGAAGGGGGGGCGGCGGGGGCAAGGGCGGCGTGGTACGTGGGCCGCCTCCCTCTCGTGCTTCACGTCCGGGGCCTTCCTCCTTGTCCAGCTCCTCGTGCTGCTCCTCGTCGCCCCTATCATCATTATTGGCATCTTGCAGCTTGCCCTCGTCACAGTCGTCGTCGTCGTCGTCGTCGTCGTCGTCGTCCGCCTAGCCATCTCCAAGGGCATGTTCTTCCGCCTCCGCCCCTTCCCATCGCTAGCGTCCCAGCTTGTGCACGGTGCTATGTAAGCGAAGGCCACTGCCACGTGGCGCGAATGATGCTATCATGAGCCGCACTGGCTTGATATCGAGGTCTATCCTCATCTTCCACCTCTTTCTGCTTCGTCCGCCTCGGCCTCCTTGCTGTTATTCTTGTCATCTCTCCTCAGCGCCGTCGTCTTTCCGACATGGACGCCTGCATCCATCTGCTCCTCGAGGTGCCCGCGAGCAGCATGTCACTTGACAGGACGATGGCTGGCAATCTGGCTCAAGGTCTGCACTGCAGAGCGCTGCAGCCAGGAAGGCTTGTCGCCCGCGGTTCTTGCAGGCGCGTTGCCGCTCCTTGATGCCTCCGCGCGGCCGGTGCTCGTCGGCCTCTCGCGGCGTTGTTGGAAGCCACATTCTGGGCAAGTGTCGCCGTTCGTATCCAAGTCGGTTTGAGTTTCAGGTATCTTGAATTTCTCTGTACTCACGCATGCAGACCTCAGAGCGGGAGTCACGGCGTGGCCCCATAGAGGAACGAGCACGACGCAAATGTGCAAATCAGTGAGTTCGGCCTCGAGACGCTCGTGGTTGAGTGTTCGATCTTGTCTTGGATGCTTTTTGGATCCGTTTGGGGGGCTATGGGTGCGCTTCTGTGAGTTCTTGAGCCCCATCCATCTTGGGTTTCCTCGGGGACAGATTGGCGACCCTTGGGGTGCTGGGGAAGGTTTTGGAAATTATTTTTCCACCGTCTGGCTCCCCGGTCAGGGGGATCAGCGGATGTGGGACACATTTGCCTCCGGATACTTTCAGATGGTTTCGGAGTGCTTCGAGCAGCTGCGGCGTGGATTTTCAGGCCAGGGGGGGCAGAGAGGATCCACAACATACTCCACGTAACGCTGGTCCCGTGACCCGTGACGAAGCTACCCCCACTTGTTTGTCCAGATAGTTGGTCCTTCGGTGTTCGAGGGGTCCGGGCGCAGGTTGCATTCGGTTGGACATCGAGATCTGTTGGGGTACATGTTGTCATTTCATGGTGCTATCGATTCTGGGCCTTCTCGATCAAGTACTCTCCTCGGGAACGCGTACATGTTGTACATGTGGCCATGTGCATATGGCATTGAAATATGATGTGTTTGTAAGTGTTTGTTGCCAGAGCCATACAGTTTCAGCGACCGACTCATACAATCGGCGTGTGATAGTGGCCGTGTGGGCTGCGATTCTAGGGAGGGCGAGAATCCTGAGACCTCGTGGGGGAAGCATGGCAGTGACGAGGGTCTGGGGCAGGGAGTACGGCGTAGGTGGAGGGGGGAATGGGGCGGGCTCAGGACCGTTGGGGTAGAGCGATGTAAGCACTTACTACGCCAACCCTCTGGAAGAGCCGCGTCAGTACCTGGCGTTTAGATCTTTCGGCTTGATCATCGTCATGATGGCAGTCATCACAGGTGGTCACCACAGATCCAGATAATCGACAGCCATTTTGAGCTCAAGGGAATATCTGCCTGGGGGAGTCATGCACGATCACCGCAGAGCAGCTGCCAGGGGTAGTCGCCAGCCAGGCCACCCAGCTGCCCGAGGGAGTCGATCCGAAGATCCAGATCTGCTATCCAGGCAGTTGGGCGCGCTTCTGCGGCACCAGGCGCGCACGCGGGGCCTCGTCATGGACCCTGCCGGTTTCGTGGAGTTCGGGGATCTGCTGCGCGAGATCACGAGGTTCACTGGTGAGCAGGTCGGCCAGGATGACGTGGAGCGCGTCGTCGCGACCAGCCACCACAAGAACGGCCAGCCTCGCTTCCAGTTCCGCCAAGTGCGCGGCGTCTGGCACATCAGAGCCCTCAGGAACCACTCCATCCCCGGCGTCGACGTGTCGGCCTTCCCCAGCGATCCCCCCTGCGTGCGCGCCGCCTCCGCGCAGGGGCCGGCGCCCGTCGTCTCCCCTGCCGCTTCGGGGCGCGCCCTGCTGCACCACGACGGCCGCGTCGAGGAGGAGCCCCTCCACCCCCGGAGGCCGGGAGGCGCCCCGACTGCGCCGTGGTCTCCGCCGTCGCCGCGGGGCTGCCACTCCCAGGCCGGGGGCCGACTGCAATCAGGGGGGTCTGACAGCTCGGCTCGCTCGTCCAGGGGGCAAGGCATCTCTCCGGGGAGGGGGCGCAATTCTGCACGATTCAAGTGCCCCCACCAGCGCATTGCGCGTAGAAACAAGAATTTCTATGCAGGCGACCTGCCGTCTTTCCTGGAGGCTTCTTTGAACTGACTTGGGCCGTGTGAAGGGGCCAACTTGGGGTTCTTTTGGGGCCCTCTTGGGGGCCGTGGGAGCCACCTTGGATGACATCGATTAATCGAAGGGGGGGGGTCCAATTAGGGTTGTCCGTCGGAGTCCGACGAACCGCCTCGTGGGGTCCTCTCGGGGTCCGCTCCGCTTCGGACGCTACCGGTGCGCTGTTCGCCAGGAGGAAAAAACACACAGACACAATTAATCGTCGATTCCCCAGGAAATATGGGAAATATGGGCAGTGGGGGGAAGACAGAGACCCAGCAAATACATATATATATATATATATATATATGAAAATATGGGGAATCCGGTTGTTTGTGCGTATGTATTCGTGTGTCCCAGGGCCCCTTCAGTTCGGGGTATGGTGCAGCCCTTGTCTCTGCGAGGAGCCTCCTTGGCGTCATGCGGAGCCACCTGCAGGCTTCAGGCGCCCATCAGACACTGATAGGCGATAGTGCACAGCTCATCAGAAAACGACGTCTAGTCTTAAGTCGGACCTGTCCCCCTACAGGGGGACCGACGAAAAATATCAAATACCCCAAAACAAAAAATAGTCCAAACATAGTCGGGGACTATTTTTTAAGTATTTGTTTGACCTTTTTTGGAGTATTTTTGGAGTGTTTAATTTTTCGTCGAAAATCCCCCTGTAGGGGGACACGCCCGACATAAGTCTAGTCTCCGAAGTAGGGTGGCTCGCTCGGCTGGTCTCGCGGCGGTCTTGGGGCCTCTTGGGAGCAGGTCTGAGGCAATATTGCTCCATCTTGTGATCGTTTTCTTGCTCCTTGTTTTGCCGATCGGCGCGGGCGCTCCATCTTGTGATCGTTTCCTTGTTCCTTGTTTTGCCGATCGGCGCGGGCCCTCGCACCCCCTCCCTCCCTCCATGGTGTGGATCTTGGCTGTTCTTGAAGCATGTTTCAAGCAGGTGGAGTCTCCCCCGTAGGACGCACTGTTGCAAACAGCCGCGTTGAGCAGAGGTCAGGAGCCAGAACCCCCCCCTTCCGCCCAATGTCCAATGTCGAAACGCCAAAACAGAAAACGTTCACAATATTGTGCCATCTTGGCCTATCTTGCGCCATCTTGGAGGCTACCTGTGACCATACAGGTACCTGCGGCAAGTCCGCCACATCGCCAGCAGAGCGTGACGTACTGCGAGATCCTTCGAGCGCCGCCCAGAAGGCCAGTTCCTGTTTGTTTTCGGGCGCGAGCGCGCGGCCGTTTTGTTTTTGTTTTCGCGGGTGACGGCTTGAAACGAAACGAGTTGTTCGGAAGATCAGTCGTTTTCGCTCTTCGCATCGTTCTAAAGGAATACGACGTTCAAAACGAAAACGATGTTCAAGTCGTGCCCTGGTGACACCTTTCCTCTCCGTTTCTAGAGGAGCTCCATGGAGCTTATTTGGGCCGTCTTTGGGCTGTCTTGGGCTCCTTTGGACAACCTTGAGCATCCCTAGGGCCTATCCTAGGCCTTGTTGGGTCGTCTTGGAGCCATCCTGGGCAGGCTTGGGCCGTCTGGGGCCTGCTGAGTCTAGGGACATCTTAGCCATCTTGGGTCCCTCAGGAGGCCCGCTTGGGCCAGGTTAGAGCTCTCTTGCGGCCGTCCTGGGCTTGTTCTGGTTCTCCTGATGGTTATTGGGTAACCTTTGGTCATCCTGGCAGCCTTGGTGGCCTTCTTGAGCCGTCGTAGCAGCCTTGGAGAGTTTCGGAGATCCCCAGGGAGACTTCTGGGCGACCAGGAACTCTCGAGAGGGTGCGGTATGCGCGCAGCACTTTGTGGCGAGAGGGGGTGGGGGGCTTAGAAGACTTACAGAAGACCTACCAGACAGCACTAGGCATCCCACCCCGCCTCAACGTGCGAGGCGGTATGGCCGCGGAATTGGAGCTATCATCTTGGAGCCATCTAGTGCCGTATTTGATGCTCTGGCTGCTGGCGAATCTTCCGTCCAGGTCCAGGGGACAGGGTAGTGGGGGATGGAAGCACCTCTGTTCGGGCGACTGGAAGAGGTGACCCGAAAACCACCTAAGCCGAGGGGGCAGGTGGGATTGGCGAAGAAACCCTCCGTATCTGCCCACAGCAATCCCGTGACTTCTTTCGCCTTGCCTGGTAGCGATTCCCACGGAGGCCGCTCCGCCGTCAGCAGCAGCGGCATCTGCAGAGCCGCGCTGGTC